TGGTCTTCACATTAAAGGACTCGTCAGCTAATTTAAAGGTTGTGTAAAGGTCAGTGTGAGTGCTGTATCTTAATGAAATTACCGTTAATGATTTACTGAGTGTGACCGAGCTGCAGTTCCCCTAACGGCCACTAGAGGCTCCAGCAGTGACTCGGCCTCCATAAGGTCTCATATTAAACAAATAAACACGTTTACAGCCGTTTGGTCTCTAATCTCTCCGTTCATGACGACTGTACAACGCACCCCTTTAAATTCTATTAAGGATTAAAGTCATGTATAATTAAGGGCGGGGTCGCTTTGATTGACAGGTGGATGTTTCCAGTAGATGATGACGCTGTGCTTATCCCGAGCATATAGCTCTTTATCTTCGAAGTCCAAAGTCGGAGAAGTTGGAAAACCAAGCTTTCGCCAGGTTAGCTGTTAGCTATTGTTAGCAATACCAGCTAGCGACACAGTGCTATGAGACACAAAGTGCTAACTGACACGCTGCAGCCATCTTGGATTTTGAGGTCGAGGTTGGTGAGGTTGGTCCGACCTCAGCCTGGCTAGCTGCTAGCGAGTGTTTATGTAACAGTATGACCACGTTGTTGGCTCGCGTCCTGTTGCAGAGCTTTCGTTTCACTCTGAGACTCTAAAAGGAAACTGGACTCAGTGACAACCCATTGTTGTTGATATCGGGTTTAACGCTGTGATGATCTCAGACTTTTTATTTACGAGCACAAACTGAGCGGATTGTAGTCGGTAAACATCCGGCCTGCAGAGTCACAGCCTCAGCATCCAAATCCTCCTGTTGTCAGCGAAGCATTAGTGAGAGAATAAGAGCGCGGCGCTGACGTGCAGCCGGCGCCGGGCTCAGAGAATAGATAGTAAACAAGGAAAATGGTGGCAGCATTAAAGCAGAGTGTGTGTCAGCTCCCAGAGGGCGAGCTGTTTGAGGAGCTCCACTATAAATAAACCTGCAGAGAAAAGTGAGCTAAGAGGTTTAAAAGCAGCGGCTGGGGGGCGAGATTGGGTCTGTGATTGTCTCTTTATGGGATCAGTGTGAAACATGAGAGTGTGGATGAAAGCTGCTGCAGAGAGAAGAAGAACTGCAGCTCTGCATCTTTTCATCAGTTCTTCTTCTTCTGTGGGTGTTTGATCCTCTGTCAGCCTCTGGGCCATTCTCCTTCTTCTTCTATTAACTGCGTATCAGGCCACCAACTTCAATTTCTTTCTAACAAGAAGCTTTAATAAGTCGCCATGTTTGAGTCTTACGTTTTATTATTCATGTCTTACTGTTATATTCTTAGATAACTGTCCTAAATGGCCCCAAAGGAATCTGCAGCACTAAAGAACCTTAAACTGTAGCTAACAGCGCCTCCAGTGGTCGTTCATTAAACTGTAGCTAACAGCGCCTCCAGTGGTCGTTCATTAAACTGTAGCTAACAGCGCCTCCAGTGGTCGTTCATTAAACTGTAGCTAACAGCGCCTCCAGTGGTCGTTCATTAAACTGTAGCTAACAGCGCCACCAGTGGTCGTTCATTAAACTGTAGCTAACAGCGCCACCAGTGGTCGTTCATTAAACTGTAGCTAACAGCGCCTCCAGTGGTCGTTCATTAAACTGTAGCTAACAGCGCCACCAGTGGTCGTTCATTAAACTGTAGCTAACAGCGCCACCAGTGGTCGTTCATTAAACTGTAGCTAACAGCCGAGCGCCCACCAGTGGTCGTTCATTAAACTGTAGCTAACAGCGCCACCAGTGGTCGTTCATTAAACTGTAGCTAACAGCGCCACCAGTGGTCGTTCATTAAACTGTAGCTAACAGCGCCACCAGTGGTCGTTCATTAAACTGTAACTAACAGCGATTCCATTTATAAGCTAACGTTAGCTAGTGTTACACACTGTTGACACTAGAACATCCTTTGGGTTTCACTGAAGGTGAACTGGTTGAAGTACTATGTCCCAAAGTTTCTCTGCTGACTGGAGGAGTTGGTCCTTGTCTGAAGTCTTCACTGGAGTCCACATTCAGCAGTAAAAGGTCCACCTTGGTACGTTGGATGTGAGTCATACTGCAGATATTTTTCCATATTTGTGGCTTTCTGTGTGAATTCCTCACTTGAGCTGAACGGAAACATTGTCAGCCGCATCATTTCTTCCATCCTCTCAGTTTCTCTGTAATCCTCTCAAGCAGAGAGCAAACCAGCTCAATCCGACTCAAATCAAACCACATATCGTCCTCCATCGACACACAATGAGCAAGCAATGTCCTCTGATCACATCTGTACGGACGGTTAATTACCTCAGAGAACTTTAACTGATGGGAGGAAGGTCACATCTTCCAGTCTGCTGGTGATGTGAGGCCAGATTATGACAATAACTACAAAGAGACACAAAATAACCACAGAGACACAAAATAACCACAAAGAGACACAAAATAACCACAGAGACACAAAATAACCACAGAGACACAAAATAACTACAGAGACACAAAATAACCACAGAGACACAAAATAACCACAAAGAGACACAAAATAACTACAGAGACACAAAATAACCACAAAGAGACATAAAATAACCACAAAGAGACACAAAATAACCACAGAGACACAAAATAACCACAAAGAGACATAAAATAACCACAAAGAGACACAAAATAACCACAGAGACACAAAATAACCACAGAGACACAAAATAACCACAGAGACACAAAATAACCACAGAGACACAAAATAACCACAGAGACACAAAATAAGTACAAATTGATGCAAAACGACCACAAAGACGTTCCTTCATTTGTGTTTGATCTGTGACTCTTGTGTTGGAGTGATGGGGGTTTCAGGGTAACTGTGGGGGTTTCAGGGTAACTGTGGGGGTTTCAGGGTAACTGTGGGGGTTTCAGGGTAACTGTGGGGGTTTCAGGGTAACTGGGGGGGTTTCAGGGTAACTGTGGGGGTTTCAAGGTAACTGGGGGGTTTCAGGGTAACTGTGGGGGGTTTCAGGGTAACTGGGGGGTTTCAGGGTAACTGTGGAGGTTTCAGGGTCCGTCCGTGCGAACAGGACTAACTCCATCATTTCTTTCTTATTTGAATCACTTCAGTTCTTTCCTTTTACAGAAAGCAACCTGTAACTCACTTTAGACTGACAGTCTGAAATCTTCACAGACTGACCGGACAGAGTTCTCCCAGCGCCCAACATGGAGGAGAAGAGGATTTATGAATCTGAATCCCATAAATTTTGGAGCTTAACACATCGTCTGAACATCCTTCAGCCTGACAGGAGCTTCAGCAGGACTCAGCAGCAGACGTAAAGCTGCTGATCCAGGCTCACCAGAGGAGACACACCATGAGAAATCACTTCAGTTAGCATGAAGCAGGACGATTTGGTCAAACTTGAAAACAAACTCTCTGTAGCCCACTCCAAGGTAATTCTTATATAATGTTCTCAGTGACAGGAGGAATAAACTCTCCCTAACAGTCCCCGACAAGCAGAAAGTTAGTTGGAGTTAGAATATGAAATAAAACTCAGCAGTTTGAGGACGAAGCTTCATGAAAGCTGTGATGTTGGATAGCGACTCATTATCTGTCCGGGCTTTGATGTCGGCTCCAACTGAGCTCTCGATGTCTTTGAAGCTTTAGTTTTAACTCCGAGAAACCAGCTCATTACGGCGCCACTAATTCACGACAATCCTCTGATTCTGTGGCTGATGACTGACGCTAATGAGCTTCTGTTTTTTTACTTCAGAAACTTGTTGATACGTGGCGACTGTTTCTGTCCACAGGGTGAAAAGTACCAAAACAGGACTCTCTAATGTCCACTGCCTCGACCTCAGATACCCGATCCAACCCGCCTCCACATGGGTAACTCTTCTATATAATAAAGTACTTCTTAGTATAACTATTAGAGGATAGACAAAATATATGTTATAAACTGATCAAACATTTCCAGTGTGAACATTTTCTGTTTTATATTATTTAAAAGTCAGTTTAACCCTTTCAGATCACATCCTCAGTTATTGTTCCTCTATTTAACAACAAAAAATGTACAAAAACTAATTTATCTGTATTTTTTGTATCAAATTATAATGTGATGCGTGCTTACGTCAACATGAACTAACTGATTTCAACCAATAATATCCTGACATTCACCCGTCAATCAATCTTCAGCTTTTAGCCACACAGAGTGAAGATTCATTAGTTAGCTATCTTGCTAACAGCATGGCTAGCTCAGCAGCCTCCCAGTGAAGTCAACCAACCGTCTCAGGACATCAGAGGCTGTTGTGCCCACATCTGTACAGAGACCTGATCCATCAACATCCCGGAGCCTCGACGGGCAGACGAGCTGGGAGCTGACAGAACGAGAGGTTGCTTGGTGCTCAAACGCAGTCCGACTGTATGGACTCTGTTTGTATGTGAAGATGAAACCATGGTATCATCACTGTCTTGTTATATAAGTAACTATTTTTATTTTCTATGTTCTTCTATAAATGTGATTTATTTTTCTGAAGGAACTTATACAACCTTGTGCTGTTTAATCCATAAAAACCAGTTCAGTGTTTGATTCCTCAGCTCTTCCTGCAGATCTCAACTTATAAACCACATCAGACATTAACAGCAACACAGCGCCATCTACTGCTCCTACAGCTGTTGACATACAGCAGTATACATGCAGACTATAATCTGTGGTTGCATAGGGCCCCTGAAGCCACCAGGGGGCCCCAACTGCCAATGTCATCCACAGACAGTAGAATGTACATATCTATTTTTATATATATAATACAGAATATGATGACAAGTAGCAGCTTTTACATATTAATTACCCTTTAAAAAAAACTCTGCTCTGATTTCTGATTTCAGGTCAAACATTTAAGTGTTGAAATCTTTAAAATTGCTGCAGGTTGTATTTAATGTTGGCTGAATTAAAGAACAAAGACTTCCTGTGAAACATCTGTGAAACATCTGTGAGGAGTGTTAAGAGTTATCTTACTGAGAGAATAAAATGAAGACTGAAGAATGAAGCTTAGATTTTATTCTCACAATCTGTTTATTTAAAGACACCAAACAACGAGTCACTCCATCTTCATCACCCCGTCCTCCTCCAGCAGGTCTGGGGATGGAAATCAGCCCGTTTCCATGGTGATGTCGTGGTTTTTCAGACCTCCCAGTAGCCGTACTGGTCCAGCTGTGAAATGTGTGCTGCTGTTAAATATCATTTACAGATTTAATATACAATGAATGATTCTCTCCTCCCACCTCTTCCATCCTCTGTCCTCCTGTGGGCTGCAGCCTGTTTCAGCCTCGGTCCCCCTCCTCCGTCCTCCGTCCCTCCTGTCAGCCCGCAGCCTCCCTGAGCCTCCTCAGCACCTCCTCCGGACTGAGAGAGGAGTCCACTCTGATCAGCTTGTCTCTGGATCTGGAGCCCTGCAGGAGACAGGAGACAGGAGACAGGAGACAGGAGGTGAAACAAGGAAAGGAAAGATGGTGTAAAGGAGGTGAATTAAAGGAGAATAAGTTCATCAGGAACCTTGTCCAGAGATACGTGACTTTTCTTCAGCTCCAGGACTTCAGCCAGGTATCGAACCAGCTCAGCGTTTGCTTCTCCGTCTGTTGGAGGCGCCGCGATGGAAACTCCCACCGCCTCAGCAGAGACGTCTGCAGCAGCAGGAGAAAGGAGGTTAGAGTTCAGCTGAGGACCAACAGTCTGGCATTAGAATAGGTGTGGAGGTGACCTGTGATGCCGCTGTGCTTGGATCCGGGTTTCGCGCGCACCGTTATGGTAACGGCGCCGCTTTTGTCTCGAGCCACCGGACAGGAAGCTTCCGCCTCTGCTGCTCCACTGACGGGCTGCCGACCTTTAACCTGTGGGACAGAATCAGTCTGATGGGAAGCTTTAAAGGTTTAACTCAGGTACTGTAGCTGAGGGCAGGTACACGTCATTATACATCATTATACTTTAACACACATGTCTTAAACACTTCTAGAAGTAGCTGCACTTTGTTTATAATAACCAACCATAATTAATATGCAATGTTGCACAAAATACAGCTGAATTTGATCCTTAACACTGAACAGAATTAAACTTTAAATGTTGCTTCTGCTCTCATTCAAAACTATCAGAGTTAATTTTAATTGAAGGTTTATTTAAGTGAAATATTAATATAAATGAATATTAATAATCCTTAATATGAAGGAAACTTTCTGCCTCAGGTTAGGAGATATAAAGGATTCATTGTTATAATAAGATATGTGTGTTTAGATTATGGGATGGTTGTATGTTTAAGCTGTCACAAACCAAACTCCATTGAAAAAACTAACATTTTAAATATTTTATTAAAAATATACTAGATTCACAAAATCCCCCCCAACAGATTTTATATTATTAAATATATAAAAACCCACCTAACAGAGATTTAACTAAATAATACAATATAATACAATACAATATAATGCAATGCAATATAATATAATATAATATAATATAATATAATATAATACAATACAATACAATATAATATAATGCAATGCAATATAATATAATATAATATAATATAATATAATACAATATAATATAATATAATATAATATAATACAATATAATATAATGTCATATAATGTAATGTAATATAATATAAGGTAATGTAATATAATATAAAGTAATGTAATATAATATAATGTAATATAATATAATATAATATAATATAATACAATATAATATAATATAATATAATGTAATGTAATATAATATAAAGTAATGTAATATAATATAAAGTAATGTAATATAATATAATGTAATATAATATAATATAATATCATATAATATAATACAATACAATATAATGTAATATAATACAATATAATATAATACAATATAATATAATATAATATAATGTAATGTAATATAATATAAAGTAATGTAATATAATATAATGTAATATAATATAAAGTAATGTAATATAATATAATGTAATATAATATAATATAAAGTAATGTAATATAATATAATGTAATATAATATAATGTAATGTAATGTAATATAATATAAAGTAATGTAATATAATATAATATAAAGTAATATAATATAATATAATATAATGTAATGTAATGTAATATAATATAAAGTAATGTAATATAATATAATATAATATAATATAATGTAATATAATATAATATAATATAAAGTAATGTAATATAATATAATATAATATAATATAATGTAATATAATATAATATAATATAATGTAATATAATATAATGTAATATAATATAATATAATATAAAGTAATGTAATATAATATAATGTAATATAATATAATATAATGTAATATAATATAATATAATATAATATAAAGTAATGTAATATAATATAATATAATATAATATAATGTAATATAATATAATATAATATAATGTAATATAATATAATGTAATATAATATAATATAATATAATGTAATGTAATGTAATATAATGTAATATAATATAATATAATGTAATATAATATAATATAATATAATATAATGTAATGTAATATAATATAATGTAATATAATATAATATAATATAATGTAATGTAATATAATGTAATATAATATAATATAATGTAATATAATATAATATAATATAAAGTAATGTAATATAATATAATATAATATAATATAATATAATGTAATGTAATATAATGTAATATAATATAATATAATGTAATATAAAGTAATGTAATATAATATAATATAATATAATATAATATAATATAAAGTAATGTAATATAATATAATATAATATAATATAATGTAATGTAATATAATATAATATAATGTAATATAATATAATATAATATAAAGTAATGTAATATAATATAATATAATATAATATAATGTAATATAATATAATATAAAGTAATATAATATAATGTAATATAATATAATATAATATAATGTAATATAATATAATATAATATAATGTAATATAATATAATGTAATATAATATAATATAATATAATATAATATAATGTAATGTAATGTAATATAATGTAATATAATATAATATAATGTCATATAATATAATATAATATAAAAGTAATGTAATATAATATAATATAATATAATATAATATAATATAATGTAATATAATATAATATAATATAAAGTAATGTAATATAATATAATATAATGTAATATAATATAATATAATATAATATAATATAATGTAATATAATGTAATAACTCACAGCTTTCTCTTTTTTGGGCATCTGTCTGTTTGTGGAGGAACTTCCAGACCGGAGAACCCCGGACGGTCCGGACCGGGAGAGGACCGTCAACCGGCGGCTGAACACCGGGACAGTCAATCGGTTCAACGTCACAGCTTCAAACGGCGGGAAATATTTCAATAATCTCATAAAAGTCTCAGTTAAACAGAAACCAGCGCGGGAAAACATCCACCTGCCAGCTGTTAGCTCGCTAGCTGCTAGCTTAGACTGAGGGCGGAAATACCGACAATGTAAACACCGTGATTTCCGCTTTTCAAAATAATCACTTCCGATGTTCTTCAAAGTAAAAGCTTTCATGATTACAACGTTTTTCTTTTCTTAATTTTACATCAAATAGAAATCACTTCAAATGCACAAGTTTTAATATTTAAATTCATCAATTAATATTTTATATATTTTGTTCAGATTTTTTTATTTATTGACAATCACATCAACATATATACACATATATATATATATATAATTATTTAAAACATTTACTAGAAATGTCTGTCTCTAATAATAATAATCATATTCTTTTATTTGGTTCACTCACATCAGAATAGTTAAGCAAAAGTTAGTGAAATTTGGTCATATTTGATGTAAAATAGACACTATAGTATTAACATCCAAATATCATTAATTCATTGATTAATTTTGCAGAATTTAAAACTGATGCATTTTTTCAAAAGATTTATGTCACATGTTTTAGAAACATTTTCAGTTTTTCATATAAGAGAATACTCACCAAACAGCTCACTGCTGGACAACGTTCAAAAACACCACAGCAAAGTAAAAATAGGAGTGAAAAATAATAAAACTAACAACAACAACAACTGGAACGGTTAGCAGTAAATGTTCAGTGCTGTGAAGATGCCAAACTGAAAGAAATATCAGCATGATCCCACCAGATGTCGGTAAGAAAATCTGCTTGTTATAATTTAGGTGAATTGACCCTTTAATTCTCAACAGTTGTACCCAAAATGTGCCAAATCTGTGTCTTAAATAAGTGATAGTGTCTGACTCTAGTCCTTATTTTCTGTCAGTGCTTATATTGTGAGATATGTTCTGTGTTCAGACTCTGTTAAAGTGGTTTCATGTGTAGTTTTGTCTTTTGTCCTCCTGCCATACGCTGACTTTATGTTCCTTTAAGTTTTTTGCTGTTTAAGTGCGAGTGGCAGCTGGGAGTGTCGACGGGTTTCCCCTCCTCTGCGACCGTCCCATTCATTAAAGAAAGTTTACAGCCTGCAGACGCGCTCACTGGGGGAGCCAGTCTCACATGAACCTCAGAGAATAAGTGGACTAACACACCTGAGAGCTGCAATGGAGACCAGCCAGAACCAGGAGGCAGAGGACGGCTCGTACCTGTGGTGAGGAAGACTAACTGAAGGTTTACTCTGTGTGTGCTGTTTTACTCTGACTGAACAATGCTCAGACTGAAGCTGCCATTAAACTGGAAACACTCCAGGTTCACATTCCTGCTGTGATGGTGCAGGACAGGCTGAGACGTGGCAGAGCTTCCAGTGAGGACATACAGACAGTGAGGACACACAGACAGTGAGGACATACAGACAGTGAGGACACAGACAGTGAAGACACACAGACAGTGAGGACACAGACAGTGAAGACACACAGACAGTGAGGACATACAGACACAGACAGTGAGGACACACAGACAGTGAGGACACACAGACAGTGAGGACACAGACCGTGAGGACATACAGACAGTGAGGACACACAGACAGTGAGGACATACAGACAGTGAGGACATACAGACAGTGAGGACACAGACAGTGAGGACATACAGACAGTGAGGACACAGACAGTGAGGACACACAGACAGTGAGGACATACAGACACAGACAGTGAGGACACACAGACAGTGAGGACATACAGACAGTGAGGACACAGACAGTGAGGACATACAGACAGTGAGGACACACAGACAGTGAGGACACACAGACAGTGAGGACATACAGACAGTGAGGACACAGACAGTGAGGACATACAGACAGTGAGGACATACAGACAGTGAGGACACACAGACAGTGAGGACACACAGACAGTGAGGACATACAGACAGTGAGGACACACAGACAGTGAGGACACACAGACAGTGAGGACATACAGACAGTGAGGACACACAGACAGTGGACATACAGACAGTGAGGACACAGACAGTGAGACACACAGACAGTGAGGACATACAGACGAGGCCAGACAGTGAGGACACAGACAGTGAGGACATACAGACACAGACAGTGAGGACACAGACAGTGAGGACATACAGACAGTGAGGACATACAGACAGTGAGGACACAGACAGTGAGGACATACAGACACAGACAGTGAGGACACAGACAGTGAGGACATACAGACAGTGAGGACATACAGCAGTGAGGACACAGCGTGGGACATACAGACAGTGAGGCAACAGACAGTGAGGCACAGACAGTGGGCATACAGACCAGACAGTGAGGACAACAGACAGTGAGGCATACAGACACAGACAGTGAGGACATACAGACAGTGAGGACACGACAGTGAGGACACACAGACAGTGAGGACATACAGACAGTGAGGACACAGACAGTGAGGACATACAGACACAGACAGTGAGGACACAGACAGTGAGGACACAGACAGTGAGGACATACAGACAGTGAGGACACAGACAGTGAGGACATACAGACAGTGAGGACATACAGACAGTGAGGACACAGACAGTGAGGACATACAGACACAGACAGTGAGGACATACAGACAGTGAGGACATACAGACACAGACAGTGAGGACATACAGACAGTGAGGACACAGACAGTGAGGACACAGACAGTATATTATAGTATATTGTTATAACATGATAAGTAATGTAATATCTTATAATAACATTAAATATATCGTACTAACGTGAATATGTATAAAACATAACTGTTGAGAACTTAAATATTTTAATTTGTGATATTAATAATAATGATAACATTCTTTATATAATATTATATAATAGAGTTTACAAAATGCTTCAACAGACAAAGTAATAATCATGATAGATATATATTAAGATAATAATAAAATAATAAGAGCAGAATAGAAGCCATGAAAAAGAAATTAAAATAATAAATTGAATAAAATAGATTGCATAAAGTAAAAAGACGACATTAATATAGATAACGTAACATTTGTATAAAGAAGATGTTGTTTTTAAGTTTGGAGAAATGCTGCTGATTATAATTTGTACTAATTACTTAATTTACCCAAGTTACCTTAACAACAAAGAGTTACTTGTTCGCGAATCAAATATTTATGCTTAAATTGTGAAAGTTAATAAAATCGCATTCCCCAGTTTGAGCTGAACTAACTAAAGTCCTGCATTGAGAAAGTCATTTGAGTAAATGTATGTTAGTATAATGCTAACATGCTAAACTCAGATGGTGAACAATATACCTGATAAACATTAGCATGTTAGCATTTAGCTCAAAGCACCACTGTGTGCCTTACAGAGCTGCTAGCGTAGCTTTAGACTCTTGTTTTGTAGCAGTTGTCTAGTTTTCCTTTCAGTGTTTGAAAGTGGAATTAAAGGACGATGGGTTGCTCTCGTACTGACAAACGTACACTGACTGAAAACTGTGACTGAAAGAACAAAAACTGTATTTTGGAACTTGTGTCAGCAGTTTCCAGAGAACTCCTTCTCTCAGACGCAAGTGGAGGAAACGTTACGGCGGTCTGGACGGCAACAAACTGCTGGAGCCCAATAAAGAGCCAGACATGAAAGGTCTGTGTGTGTGTGTGTGTGTGTGTGTGTGTGTGTGTGTGTGTGTGTGTGTGTAACGCCCTGTGATTAGTGGTCTGTGAAGCATCCTTCAATGGGCGGAGTCTGCTGGTATCTAAATGAAGTTGCTGCCACAGAGCTGTGAACTGGCTGCAGGGAGCGTTCGTGGCTCCACCTCTGGATCTATTTTTCTACCTTTATTTTCGCTCCGAAAGGCCCAAACTGTGAGCTGCACTAACTAAAGCAAACAAACCCCAAAACACAAACTACTGGTCTGCACTGACACTCAGATATTTCAACTATTTCTATTTTTATTTCTATATATTTAGAATATAATGTAAGTCTGCTGCTAGCTTGAGTTAACTGTGCACTTTTATTGAGTGAACAGGTTGTAGTGTAGCTTTGTTCCTCTGCTGTCTGTGGACTGATCTCTATGTGTCTCTATGTAGGATGAGGGTCAAAGGTTGTGACCTTTATGCTCCCGAGTGCCTTCTCTCTCCGCTTCCCTACAGTGCCAACAGTGGGCAACACAGAGTCCAACACAGAGTCCAACACAGAGTCCAACACAGAGTCCACAACACAGAGTCCACAACACAGAGTCCATGGAGATGGTGTTAAAGAAACAGTCTTTTTTCCACAGAACCACTAATTTAATTCCAGTTTATTCTTCACCAAAATAAAACAGGAACATTTACTGCTATTTGGTCGGATTGTGGTTTTCTGGCTGGTTTGGTGCGACTGGTGTTCTCTGGTTACAGACTGTATGGAGACTCCTCTCATTGTCCTCAGGCCAACTTGTTTAGAAAGTTTAGATTTCACTTTAACTGTCATCAGCTCACAACCTGAAACCTCCAGTGTTTGCTGAAGCAGTTTCTTTTCTCTTCTCTGGCAGATGATGGAGGGATGACAGACGAGAGGCAGCAGAGGAACTCGGAGAAGCAGGTAGACCTGCCTCAACGTGTCGCACTCATATTATCAAGTCAAACTCTGTTTTCTAGATCAAAGACTGGGTCTCCTCCTCCCTGACAGAACCAGAGAGGAGCGTCAGATAGTTCTCTTGTCTTCAGTCAGAACAGAAACCTTCTGTAAGAAGGCTGACTCGTCCACGCCCTCAGAGGGAAAGACTCTTTACTCCACTACAATTATCTGACAGCTTTAGTTACAAGTAGAGCCTGACGACTGCGACTGACTTTATTGCCTGTGTTTAAAAGACAACCAGTTTGAAAATGGTTAAAAGATAAAAACATTAACACTATATGTATATATATATACGAATGAACAAATGTTAACTAAATGCTACCTAACAAGCTAATCTAATGTGGTGCTACAAAGCAAAACACTAGCTAACTAGCTAACTAATACACATTCATAATTAGCTGGGTAGTTCCTTGATTATTCATTTTGAGCTCATTTGGGGTAATTCTACGTACTTGTGGTGTTATACGTACTTTTACTGTAGTAAAGGATCTGGATACTTCCTCCACCACTGTATGATTAGCTAAGGTTATAAAAAGCTGATTTCTTTAATTTTTTTCTTCTCTGTGTTTATTTTATGTTGTTTTCAAGGATACAGCACCCCGCCCAGCTCCCAGAAACCTGATCCAGAACCAGGTCCAGACTGCAGTTTCCACCCCGGTCCAAAAGCCTATCAATCTCGTTAGTCCTGGATCAGCAGGTATCACTGGAACCATGAACAACTTCCTGTTCAGTCAGTGTGTTCTCTCCATTATATCCTTCTGTTGTTAGTTGTGTAACGAACACCAAACCAGCATTATATCTATGCAGGCCTACCTTTAGACAACTCCTTTAGGAAAGTAAAGTAAGACTGCCCTTTTCCAAAGTGTTTCCAACGATGACTTCCCAGATGGTTCTGTGTAACAAGCAAACATTTGACATCGTAATAATAAAGAAATTTTATGTGCAGTGGCTTCAGTGTCAGCCAGTAATGGCTGCCTGAAGCCTCCTCTCCCTCAGGCGGTGGTTCAGCCGGAGGACAGAGGCTTCCCCCCTGCCCAGCCCTGGTTCCCCCCTCAGCAGAGTCCGTCCAAACGCAGGGTGTAAGTCCTCAGCTCACTCGTTACTCAAACTAATGTCAGGTAAACCCACCAGATGTAACTTCACTGTTGTTTCAGGGCTGCTGATGTGCTGTTTGACAGCTTCGCTTCAGATGGAAGAATCAATGTCAACCAGTTCTTTGAGGTACTTTCACTCAGGACACACTCACACACCATTCAAGTCTTTATGTAAAGTAAACAAATAGTTTTCTTTCAGGCCATCTGGAGCTCCGGCCTGCACAGGTCCGACCCTCGGATCAGAGAGTGTTTCTTCCACCTGAGGAAACTGCAGGACGCCGAGGGATCAGTGGACAGAAACACCTTCCACAGGTCCTTCCTTTATGTTTAGACTAGATTAATTCTTACTTCTTTTCTCACTGCACTGGCTTTTCACTTTGACTCTATCTGGGTCTTATTGTGTTTCAATATTTGAGGCTAACCATTCAGAAAACATAAATCTACCTCCGATATTTTGCAGATGACACACTGCTTTATCTCTAGATAAAGTCTGATAATCAGACTAGTTGTGGTAGTGTTTCTTGATCTGGTGTCACTGATTTTCAGCTTCTGTCTGTGTTCTTGTTTTGGTTGTGGTTGGTAGTCATTGTAATCCTGATTGCGTTTTCTGATTGTGGTTCTGTGATGTGTTTTTCTGCTGTAGGTGCGTCACAGGATTTGTCTCTCTAATCCTAAAAGCTCTGCAGGGACGATTTGTCATCCCAGATTTTTCCACCTTCACTGAAGAAACTCAGAAATTGTTTTCAAGGTGTCGGCAGCTGTCGTCGGTACAGGTGAGTTCTGCTCTGACACCTGGAGAGGTCAATAATGACTTTCTCTCTAACAATTTAAAGGTGTGTAACATTGAGGAGGATCTATTGTCAGAAATGTAATATAATATCCATAGGTATGTTTTCATTAGTGTTTAATCACCTGAAAATAATATTGGTTGTGTTTTCGTTACTTTAGAATGAGACGTTTTTATCTACATTATATGGTAGGCCAGAATGGTTAGTTTGAGATAATTGTATAAAAACTTCCTGAAATTATCAGGAAAACTCATTTCTGATGGATATTCACAGGAAGTAATCTGCTCAATATTCATCTAAATCTCTGGTTTTACACAAACTTTCTGCAGTTATTGAGTTCACTGTTTGGGTTCATTGTACAGTTTATTAGTCATTCTGTACTGTTATTGATATGCAATGAATACAGTATGAAATATCCATAAAATATAGTCACTGAGTCAGTTTACTTAATGATAAAAAAGGGTCCCTTAAGAAAAAAGGTTGGGAACCACTGCTTGAATGTAACTTTAGACCACAAGGGTTCTGGTAGAAACCTAAAAAAGAACATGTGGGTAAAGAAACAAATCGGTAGGACACTCCCATATGAGATATGATATTTAACGACTGGAGCATATTTTTGGTGCTGCAGGGGAATAAAACCTGGTCAGAATTGGTGAATGAACTCATTAGATCCTTTTTCTTTTTTGTATTTGTTGAATCAGGAGAAGGAAAAGGAGAGCATGGACAGCACTAAATGGGGCGTCTCAATCTGCACTGTGGATGGGCAGAGGTATGTCGAGTGGCTTCACATCAAAGTAAAGTTTTTGAAAACAATTGTTTTTATGTGATGGCCAGATTGACTAAACCCTAAAGTAGTGCCTGAAATGGACCAAAAAAGTTGCCCGTACCCTAAGTCCCAACACATCCCTAAACCCTAAACCCAACCTAACCCTGCCTTAATCCTTTGGCCTTTTTGTCCATTTTAACAAGGACATTTTCAAGGCTGTTTTCTTAGTATTAAGCTAGCTGTGTTTACATGGAGACGCAGTTACCAGGCATTCAGAAGTTTTTAAATTACTGAAGTCCAAACACCGAAGTGTTTTCGGGGCATCAAAGCATCAAAGTTCTTTTTATGAAATTATTTTGCTAAATATTAGACTTGTATACCTCTCAGAAAAAAACCGCAAGGTCTGGACTTTGGTGATCTCAGTGGTGGGTATGGCTATGCTCGTCAGAGGTGGTGGTATGCCATAAGAAGTAAGGATACTCATGTGGACAAAAATCCCCTTAAAAAGTGCTGTTACTCAGTACTGGTGAGTACTGACCCATTTCAGGCATTTAAGACACTGCCCTAAACCGAGATACAGGAGTCAGTAGATAGAGGGATCAGAGGACAGAAAGAGGTTTTATTTTAATATGAGTAAACTTTGGTCATCACTCCCTCTAGCTCCTTCACAGTAAAAGCCTCCAGCACTGTGAGAAAAGTGAATATACAGTAAAAAGGATCTGTCTGTCTGTCTGTGTGTCTGTGTGTCTGTCAGGTTGTCTTTGGGAGACTGGGCCGGCTCTCTGGTTCTAGGTGAGGTTTCATGGCCGCTGGTGTACGGTGTGGCGGTGGACCTGCTGGGTTCCGACCTCGTCCACAGATACGTTGGCTTGGAGGGGTACTCCAGATACGACTCTCCGTTCACTCTCACTAAAACAGGTCCAGGAACAGTCGCCTCTGTCTTCCCTAAACTGGTCTGGATTGTTTTTCTTCTGCCAGGATCATCTTGGCTAGTAGAAAGCTATCGTTAGCTATGTTCCACTACATCATTTATTGTTGGCTATAATCAACACTGTTTGTCAGAATACATAAGTTAGTATCATGGATCACGTTAGCTGGGGAAGCTAACATTAGCCAACTAACATATCCACTCACATAGTATTTTGCTAGCGCTAACATTAGTGAGCAAGGTTCCTACATAGAAACACATATAAATCAGTCCACAGGCAGCAGAGGAAGTCACTGCGTTATAACCCGTTCACTGACTGCTCACACACACTGATTCACACAGAAAATAAAATCTAACATATGGAACCTTTAAGATTAATAATACAAAGTATAACTGGGTCGGTTTGGGCCCCATCAGAGCTCTACTCTCAGCAGGTTGATCGTATTCAGAAACAGTAACATTTTTGCTTCAAAATTCAAGTTTTTGACCTGAGAAAGTACGTTAAGAAAATGATGACCTACTATCTGATGAAATCGACCCTGTACAGCAGAGGGCAGTAACACTATTATTCCTGTGTGCAGGGATCCCTCACAGTCCGCTCACTGAGACAGGAGCCATCGTTGCTACATCTTTACTACAGGTAACTCACTCACCCTCCATCCATCCATTAGCAGTGATGTCACTTCCTCTAACGCCGTGTACTGTTTGTCTCCAGCTGGCGGGGAGGTTGAGTTCAGAGGAAGAGGAGAAGTACGACTCGGTAAGTGACACAGACAGATGGTAGAAACCGTAAACGTCCTCCCAGAAACAAACTGACTGTGTGTGTTTGCACTGTAGGTGCTGAACGTCATCCGGAGGCTCTGCAACAAAGAGCACGCCAACTTAAACTGCACCAGGTAGCCACACCCAATCACTGACCTGCTCCTGACGTCTGAATCCACCTGCAGCAACCCGGAAACACTGAGTACCAGAGTTTAATGTTAGAAATGTACAGTATGGGTCTCCAGCAGTTAGACACGGCCAGATGCTAACTTACAAAACCACTCTTATATTGTCCAAATGAAAATATTAATGAATATAAATATGAATGCTAATTATGTTAATTGTCCAACATATGAAAGATAGTATCTGTCAGTGTCTAACTGCTGGTCTTGTTCAGTGAGGTTTTGTTGTTGTTGTTTAGTTATCAGAGCAGCAGGAAGGCCAGTGTCCGACTCCACGCTCTGTCCTTCTACCTGCAGGAGAAAAAGGTAAAAACCCTTCAAAGGTTAAAGGTCATCAATGTCTGCTCTTCCTGCCGTCTCTGACTGATCTCCTGTCTGTCAGTGTTTTCCAGAGAAGGCCGACATTAATGCCGCTTTGGATCTAATGCTGCAGGTAAAACACCTCCTTCCTTTGGGTTTATTGTCTTACATCCCAGCACATACACACTTTCAGTAGGAACCTGAAGCACATTCACTGTTTGTAAGAGTTTATGCCTGTGTTATAACGTTAAACAATAATGTAGAGTATAGTTGCTCTGACAAATGTGCCTCCTTTCAGATTCTATGACACAGATTGTTCATAAAAAACTGAGATTAGAAAAATGTATCTTAAAGTTAAAACCACTGATTTTTAGACACATGACAGTTACATAATGCAACAGACAATATGTCCCTTGTGTTTACACTGACAGGAGAAATTAAAATTCCTACAAGAAAATATTAATGTTTTTATTTGTGTTTAGAACATCGGGTGCACTTCAGTATTACAACAACAAACATTCACCTCTTTTCACAGATGAAAAAAAATTAAAATCTTAGAAACAAAAATGAACTTGCCTTTTAAGGCTTCCGTATTTGTTCCACGTAAATAAAAAAAACAATTATTTACAAAACATACGCCATATTCGATATATAAAATCCACAGGATTCAGAAGTGCCTTTTTAATATTTTGTACAAATAGTTTTTTGGTTGAACAAAAGTAAATAAATGAAACTCTTGTTCTCTGCTGTCTGACAGTGCGCCTCAACAGAGATCACCTGCGAATCAGGAGCCGCCATGGCTGCTTCGTTAGCCAATGGGGGCCTCTGCCCACTGTCAGGTGACCAGGTGCTGTCGTCTGTGGCAACGCGGAGTATGCTGTCCATGATGCAGGTGGCGGGGATGAAGGATTACTCCACGACCTTCCACTACAAGGTCCAGTCTTTATCTGGTTCTTCTTGTTGTTGAGTTAAAGCTCCTCTATATATCTATCTGATCCTCCTGCTTGTTGCTGCAGACGTCGATACCGGCCGTGTCCAGCAGCCACGGCTCCCTGCTGGCGGTGGTTCCTGGTGTTTTGGGTCTGATGGCGTTCTCTCCTGAGTTAGACGCCTGTGGGAACCCCTGGAGGGCCGTCCACTTCTGCCAGGTAACACGTCTGTCTTTAAACCGGCAGCAGGAAGCATATTGTTCACTTAGATGTTTGATGTTGATGATTTTTGCTCTGTGGAGAAGCGTTTGTCGATCCAGGAATGAAGATAAAACAGACAATGCTGTTTTTGTGTTTGTAGGAGCTGATATCGACATTTCAGCTGCACAGTTTTGACATCAGGACTCCGTTCAGGCAGATTCTGGCCTACAGACAGTGGAAGGCTGAATCTGAGGTTTGTGTTCTGATCCCAGACCAGTTTATGTTTCAACACGCTATGATGTTCTTTAAAGAGCCTCCTCTCTCTGCAGGGATACCAGATCATGAACGTCCTGCTGGCAGCTTTTAAAGGAGACGTCCAGGCCCTGAGGAGGTAATATTGCAATAATTACATCGTCCCTTTAAAGGTTAAAGATTAAAGGTAATGTGTTTCTATGTAGGGATGAGGGTCAAAGGACGTTTATGCTCCCGAGTGCCGGAGCTTCTCCAGCTAATGTGATCCATGATGCTAACTTATGTATTCTGATAAACTGTGTTGATTTTAACCAACAATAAATGATGTAGTGGTACAAAGCTAACAATAGCTTGATGATGATGCTCTCACAAGTTCACTGAACGCCCACTGGTGGCGCTGTTAGTTACAGTTTAATGAACGACCACTGGTGGCGCTGTTAGTTACAGTTTAATGAACGACCACTGGTGGCGCTGTTAGCTACAGTTTAATGAACGACCACTGGTGGCGCTGTTAGTTACAGTTTAATGAACGACCACTGGTGGCGCTGTTAGCTACAGTTTAATGAACGACCACTGGTGGCGCTGTTAGTTACAGTTTAATGAACGACCACTGGTGGCGCTGTTAGCTACAGTTTAATGAACGACCACTGGTGGCGCTGTTAGCTACAGTTTAATGAACGACCACTGGTGGCGCTGTTAGCTACAGTTTAATGAACGACCACTGGTGGCGCTGTTAGCTTTAACACCACTGGTGGCGCTGTTAGCTACAGTTTAATGAACGACACTGGTGCTTTAAGTTTAATGAACGACCACTGGTGGCGCTGTTAGTTACAGTTTAATGAACGACCACTGGTGGCGCTGTTAGCTACAGTTTAACGAAATAAAACCTTTAATAAGATGTTCAGCTTTGTTTTACTTGTATGAGAAACAGAAATCGTGTACAGCGACATCCCACTGATTATGTGTAGAAATACAAAATATAAACACTCTCTTCTTCGGTGGTTGTCTGCAGGTACTTCCTGTCTGGAGTGGATGTAAACGCTGTCGACTACGACGGCAGGTCGGCTCTGCACGTGGCGGCCGCCGAAGGTCACACAGAGGTCATCCGCTTCCTGCTGGAGAATGCCGGAGCGAACGCCGCCCTCCGGGACAGGTGAGCCCAGACCTGCAGGTGACCGTCTGTCCCACTGGAGCTTCAAATAAACTCAAACTATAAACCAAACAACTACAGAAAATAATCACACTGCAAAAGCTATTTATTTCTCTCTTCCACTAAAGTCCTGTAAGGATATTTTTAACATTATCTCATGTGAATACATTTTTCTAATATTGTATTTATAATAAATTGTTATCCAACCGTAATATTATATGTGTATTCATGAAAAATTATAATATAAAAATATGAATTAAAAGTATTTTTAGATATTTTTCAGAGAAGGCAGGAAAAAAAGGAGATAAAACAAACTCACTGATGCAAATTATTAACTTATTTGCACCCTAACAAGATACTTTACCAGACGTTATGGGACAAATCTTCTGGGATATTTCCAAAGATTCAGTGTGAGACATAAACCCAGCATCCTTTATATTATATTATATTATATTATATTATATTAATTCATCAAGCAGCTGCTCAGGTACCTCCAGGATCCAGTGTTTGTCCACCTTTGTGTAATCACTGATTGTTGCTGCAGTGTGTGATAATGTAGTTCTGTCCTTCCACCAGGTGGGGGAGCTCTCCTCTGCAGGAGGCCAGGAGGCACAACAGGGAGGCTGCAGTCCAACTGCTGCAGGGAGCCGTCTGACCCGTCCGACCCATACCCCCACAATCTGACCTTTGACCTCTTTAAAAGGTTCACTGACTAGAAGTGTGTCTGCAGGTGGAGGGACAGTGAGCTCATTCAATAATAAATATTATAAAGTTCTGTAAAGAGTTAAACTGGTGATTGGAGGTTCTGTGAGGAGGTTCTCTTTGTCTCCGGACTGAAAGCAACATGTAGTCCAGTTGGCTGGACTCGACTGAATGATTAATATTCTGTTCACGTCCGCTTCTTTTCAAACGCTGCGCTGGAATCTGCTGCAGTGGTTTTTAATAAAGCAGCTTTTGTTTCCTCTGTGGACGTCAGTTAGGAACTAAAAACAATATACAATATGAGCCACATGAACAGACATCAGAGAGACGATTGATTATTTATAGACAGTTATTATTAATGTCTGCCACCCAGTCAGGTTCCCCTTGAAATCAATGAAAGGAAGCTGTAGAAACCCTTCAGTCCACAGGGGGCGCCACAATCTACACAACATGTACGTAAATATATCACAGAGCAGACTCTGGTCACTTTCTACAGAAAATGGTGGTTTATAATAATTTGAGGATTTGGACCAACTGCTGTTAATTAAGTTTAATGAACTTAAAAACATTCAGATAACGAAAGATGAGAGATCAGATCAGACAGAAACGTTTCTTCATCTGTTCCACAAAAATAAATAACAAACAATGTGTTTAAAACCAGAAATGTCTCCTCATATAGACTCAGATACCCCAAATAACACTGAACAATCAACAATAATCTTCCTCACACACAGCTGCTTCCTCTGTTTGATATCACTGTTCATCCCAATGGCCTCCTCCTCCTTCTTCTCCTCCTTCTTCTCCTCCTCCTCCTTCTCCTCCTCCTTCTTCTCCTCCTTCTTCTCCTCCTTCTACCTTTCATTTGTAGCCGTCTCCTCCTCCACTGTCTCTGTGTCTGTACAACCACGGATCTCCAGATGTGCTGATGTTGGATGTTTGTGATGAACTGAAGGATGAAGAGTTTCTTTGTGGGTTGAGACCGTTCTTCTTCATCTGAATAAACCGTTTAAAAAACCTCTCAGATGATCTGAAAATGCTGAAAACAGGCTGTTTGTCTACAAATATAGAATATATAATAATCATATAGAATATATAATAATCGTATAGAATATAATGATAATATGATGCATTGCTGTTTAACTACCAACAGTTTATAAATTAGTTCAACCTTAAACACACATTAACAGTAATATTAATACAAAACATTTTACTCATCGTACCACTTTTACTTACTTTTACACTCTAAAAACATGTTTGGGCTCAACAAGAAGATGAATGCAACAGTTTTGAGTTAATCTTTTTGAGTTATGGCAACTTCTAATGAAGTTATGTTCAATAAATGAACTTTATTGAGTTACAGGAATCAGCTTTTCCTCTTCAATCAAACATGTTTTACTTTATAATATATAATATTTTATAGTATAACCACATTATATTTGGCAGCATAAACTCAAGTTTTTAAGTTGATTACTTACAAAAAATACCTGGTTCCAACTAGTTTTTCCACATTATTTGTGTCAACTCAAAGTTTTATCTTAATCAATAAGTTAGAGGTTTTATGTTGCAACCACACATTTATTTTAATGATGACAATAAATCCACTGAATTAGATTTTAACTAAATTGTTTTTATTTTAAAACAGCATTCGAACACACAATATGTAAATTGTCCCACACAGACACCGATCTCCTTTAAAAACCTGCAGTTTTACACATTATAGGAAAAACCTTCAGGACTTTTACTGAGTCTGAACTCATCAAACATTTCCTGTTTTATTATCAGATCTGTTATTATTGTTATTTTTATTATTATTATTAGAAACTTAATAAAGTTAATGTTGTTTTATTTAAGTTTGTTTGTATGAAATAAATGTTCCTGAATCAGGTTAAACTGAACCAAACTATGAACATTTCCCTCAGAAAGTAAAAATAAAAACAAACATTTTATTTGTATTGTTTGATTTGTTTTTGTTTGTCTTTGTGAGCACATCATGAATATTCATCAGATGAAGCTCTGAACCAATCAGAGGCCAGCAGACAGGAGGCGGCGTCAAGCTGACATCAGAGCTCTACCGGAAGTTAGGTAGATTACCTTCACAATAAAAGTACGAGATGTTGACGTTTGTTCTTATGAAAGAGTCAAATTATTTTAATTCAGAAACATAAAGAAAGAAACCAAAGAATACAGATAATGTTTGTTTAGGGAGAGCAGCTGGTTTGATAATCTGTTAATAGTTTTAATCATTTTTAAAGTCCCCAGTGAAATTAGTTTTTATTTAAATGAAATCTATTTGGACAAAATAAGTCACTTGAAGATGTCTGCTTTTGACTTTTTGACATTTCACAGAGCAAATAATTAGAAAACAAGAAGAAAATAATAAGAAAATGAGAAAAAATAGTAAGATAAAATAATAAATAACTCCTAACAGAGAAATTAAAATGACAATCAGGTGCACAAATGGAAATAAATATATTTTTAATGATAAAAATAAATAGTAAGAATACACATTGCAGAGAATAATAAAGACAGAAACTAACTAATGAGAACTATTAATAGTAAAGAATCTTTATAATGACTCCCTGCTGTAATAGCAGTAATCTATCCGCTGTGACTGTTTATGAGTGCTGCTTATGTTCTCAGCTGTACTGTAGTGAACTTACATATGTGCAGCTCTGCTTTTACTTTGAAGGCTCTGACCGGAAGTGTGAGCAGTAGCTTTGTGCAGCTTGACGTCATCGTCCTGCAGCCGCCTGTTGAACGGAGGCAGCGCGCGGAGGTCGGCTCAGTTCCCGGGAAGAGACTGATGGGTGAGTTCAGTTGGACTGGAGGAAGTACCTGTCTGTCTGCCTGCCTGTCTGTCTGTCCTGTCTGTCTGTCTGTCTGCCTGCCTGCCTGTCTGCCTGTCTGTCTGTCTGTCCTTCTGTCTGTCTGTTTGTTTGTTTACTTTTTGTTTGTTTATTTGCGGAAACTGAAGCGATGCGTTCAGAATGAGAGTTTCTGATGATGATGATGATGATGATGAGGAGGAGGAGGAGCTGCATTTGTTTGACTGTGTCTTTCTTCCTCAGCGGAGCAGCGGGACTGACGGCGGTCTGCGGAGGTGAGTCCACACTGACACATTGAGGCTTTTAGTCCGTCTGTCGGTCTGAACCGGATCAGACACCGAGAGGAAGAACCGGTTCCTCAAAGCAAACTTTAATGTTCTGAAAGTGTCTCAGAGAGTCCGGAGAAAGGGTTCAGTGTACCTGGAGCTGCAGGTCCAGCTGGTTCAGTCTGTAAATAGACCTACAGGTAGTCCAGGGGCTCACATGTGGATCCGGTGGCTGTTTGAGGGCTGGTCGGAACCACAGGGGTCCACCGGTACCTGGTTTAGGTTTTATAGGTGGACCTGCAGGGACTCAGGTATACAGGTACAGGTGGGTAGGTTGGGGTCTGTGGACCTACCGGGGTTTAAGGGTTCTGGCAGAAGTTACAAAGACCAGCATGCAACTGTGATTTCCTCTGATTGATCCTGAGAGGTTCGATACGAGGGGACTACAAAGACCAGCATGCAACTGTGATTTCCTCTGATTGATCCTGAGAGGTTCGATACGAGGGGACTTTAGGGGAGTTTCCCTTTGAAACCAGTTTCTATTGAACAGTTTGCAACCAGAGGCTTCAATCACAAACTGTAGAATAATATAAAAGACCCAACAGTTCCCACCACGAGCAAGCACCTGGAGACAGCGGCAAGGAAACTGCACTGTTAGCCACTAGCTAACGTTAGCTTAGAAATGGAGTCCGCTAACGTCTACAGACGACCGACGACAGAGTCCAAAGTCAGAGCTAACATTAATGCTAAGCTAGTGGAACATATTGTCTGATTGTGCTTTTAGTTGGCTAACGTTATCCATGATGCTAACTTATGTATTCTGTTGATGTTAGCCAACAATAAATGATGTAGCGGTACAAAGCTAATGATAGCTTCCTATTAGCCAAGAGTGATGTGAGGGAGGGGCATCCAGCTAGCTAACTGCAGCTATGCTAACTGGGGTTGTCCAGCTGGCTGTATCTTGGTGTTGCATTGTGGGTCTGGTGTTGGTTGCTTCGTGGTGTTGGCTGATCTGTAAACAGCGAGCTAGTTATTAGCATGGAGCTAACGGTCCAAATAAAATATAGGAACATTGCAGATAGTAACGTTATTCTAAATATGATCGTCAGTTATTTTACAGCGTTCAGTGTTTGTCTCTGTTGGCCGACGCCCAGGATGATGCAACAGGACGCTGACTGCAGTTCACTGAACGACCACTGGTGGCGCTGTTAGCTACAGTTTAATGAACGACCACTGGTGGCGCTGTTAGTTACAGTTTAATGAACGACCACTGGTGGCGCTGTTAACTACAGTTTAATGAACGACCACTGGTGGCGCTGTTAGCTACAGTTTAATGAACGACCACTGGTGGCGCTGTTAGCTACAGTTTAATGAACGACCACTGGTGGCGCTGTTAGTTACAGTTTAATGAACGACCACTGGTGGCGCTGTTAACTACAGTTTGATGAACGACCACTGGTGGCACTGTTAGCTACAGTTTAATGAACGACCACTGGTGGCGCTGTTAGTTACAGTTTAATGAACGACCACTGGTGGCGCTGTTAACTACAGTTTAATGAACGACCACTGGTGGCGCTGTTAGTTACAGTTTAATGAACGACCACTGGTGGCGCTGTTAGCTACAGTTTAATGAACGACCACTGGTGGCGCTGTTAGCTACAGTTTAATGAACGACCACTGGAGGCGCTGTTAGCTACAGTTCACTGAACGACCACTGGTGGCGCTGTTAGCTACAGTTCACTGTATAACTGTAAAGTGAATATTATTGGATGTTGTCACTGTGGATTCTCATTATTTTATTAAATGAATAATTAACGAGCTGCAGCACTAATAATAATAAAATATGATAATAATATTAATTACTGTATGACTGAGTTAAAACTGACTAGAAGTCCGTTGTTGGTTGTGTTTTATGGTTGTTTACTGACTCCAGTTCACAGAGAATATAAGTACTGTACCTCTGTGTCTCCGTCTATAATTGCATTAGTCTCTCTGAGTACTTTCTCATGACAGGGGGCTTCTGTTTTAGGATTAGCACACATGCTAACACACACACACTAACTGTAGCTCTCGGTCTGCACGCTCTGGTTCCACATTTGATCATTTCTGTAGATATTAGAGCCGCAGATCTGATGAGTTAGTTCCAGAGAAGAGCGACGGTCTGAAGTTGTGATGGTTTGATTGGAGTCCAGCTTGTGACAGTCCTGTTTGTGTGGCGGCCTGCAGCAGCCGGATTATAGCTGCTTAACGTTTCCACAGTGAAGCCTTTACATTAATTTAACCCTTTAAGAGCTCATCCTCACTTATATTGTTCCATTATTTAACAACGTGTGACAGAAAATACTCACAAAACCTCAGTTTTACATTCACCCGTCAATCTCTGGTTTTCCTTTCATCTGGACTTTAAAGAAAAAGCTTGACATTTCTTGAATTATGCTGATTTGCTTTGTGATTTAACTCTCATATCTGTACATTAAAGCTAACAGCTGGTTAGCTTAGCTTAGCATAAAAACCTGAAACAGGGGGAAATGGCCCATGACAGCCCTAACCGTCTCTGATTGGCTCGTGCTCAATCAATTTTTCAAAATAAAATACAGTGAGCAGACTGTAGATAGATTTTTCAGGCAGTATTGGAGCTATTTCTGAAGTTTTATTGCATTTTATAACAAGATTATCCATCAACCAACAGAAACAAAAATACAAGAGTCAGCAAACCAACAGACATCAACATAAGAAAGCAGATATTTGGTTACAGTAACGTGGATTTTATTGGTACGCAGCTGCTGTACGTTATTAATCCAGCTGTTAATAATGAAAATGTTCTCGACTGTGGTGCTGCAGTTCAGACTGATACTGTTAATGTTTGACAGAAATGTTCCAGCAGCTGGAGCGCCAAAAAATAAAGTAATATTCTATCATTAAAATACAGTTTTTAGCTTTAATTTGACATAAAATGTGTTATTTACACTTTAAAAACAATGCAATGAGCTATAAATCCAGGTAAACTCTGCTATAACACAATAATCACTTACATTTACAGCAGAGTGCTGTTAATATTGGATTGTTATTATTTTAATGTGAATGTTAAAAGTTATAGAACTGAAATAAAAGTCATTATCTGTGAGATTACAGTAATTATTGCTGTTTACACTGATAACAACTGTATTTGGACAGTTTACCTTATACACTGATAAACAACATTTATTCAACTTCCATCATTATACAACATATCTGTCAGTTCACTAACTAATACATTAAAGTTACACAACTAATACTGTTTTACTGTTAATTAGTGATATGATTATTTACAGTTACAGATTTTTCACGTTATTTTATATTAGACCTGTAAATTCACAGGATAGTTTTATAATGTTATTAATATTTAATATATATTTAAAGAATAAACAGTGATGGTGACTGAGTGTCACATTTTCTGGAGGAGTTCGGTGAACGAGAGGCAGACGAACTGATGGACAGACTGATGTAACAGTGGAGGAGGATGTGACGGAGGGTGAGGGGGTGACAGGGTGAGGTGTTGGTGTTGGTGGGGGGGCGTTTGACCTTTTATTGATGACTGGTTTTGGAGTTTGCCAGATGGGTCGTCATGGTGACACCTAACGCCCACTTTGTCAGAGCAGAAGGTGAGATTGTTGTTTTTCCTCCCGAGTGAATCATCTTCTGGGACGTAGACGCTCTTTGTGTCTATGTTACCCCGACAGGCTTCTTTGTGTGTGTGTGTGTGTGTGTGTGTGTGTGTGTGTGTGTGTCTGTTAATACCACCAAATCCTGTGAACACTACATGTGGTGAACTGTGCACACATGGTCCTGTTCCCACACACAACCTGTAGTCTCTGGCAGGGTCTGAACACACACAGTAACACACAGTAACACACACACACACACACACCACACCACACTCATCTGGCCGACGAGCTGTTAAACCTGCCGCCACCTTTTTCCACTTCCAGGCTGATCTGATGTTGTTGGATTGTTTCCTCAAACACTGATGGACACATTGTTCATTCACCTCAGTGGTTCCCAACCTGGGGGCCGGGACCCCTGCTGGGGGTCGCCAAAGCTTCACAGGCGGTCGCGAGGCCTTCTTGATTTTAAAGCATGTAAGAAAACTTTAAAAATAAACCCAGTAGGCCGATATGTCACCGTCCTGCAGTAAGAAAGTACACAGTTCTAACAATAGAGCTTAATGGAGGAAAAAACCCACTGAATTTATTAAAAAATAAGCTTATAAAGTTTGTTAGAGAATATAAAATACACAATACAGACAGAATTATATAAAAAGTTCCCCATAAAATCAGTAAAACTCATCTCTGATGAACATTCACAGGAAATAATCAGCTCAACATTCATCCAAATCTCTGGTTTCACATCCTGTATTCAGTTGGTTGTATTCTGCAACTTCACCACTAGATGTCACTAAATCTTACACACTGGACCTACAAACACAACTTCTGTAACGCGATTCATTTTATAAACCTACAAACCGTAAAAAAGAAGCACAAAAATCCTCTCAGAGTCTCATCCTGCTGCAGACGAGGACGAGTCAGTTTGTTGTCCAGTGAGAGAGAAATCTGTATTTATTGACCTCCTCTAGCTTTGGCAGGACGCAGCCGAATAAACAATAGCGTGTTTGTGTTGACTGTCAGCACGAGGCCTCTCATTGGCTGTGATCAGAGGAGACAGCACAGCGAGAGCCTGTGGGACACACACTGCGCTGTGAGATCCCATCAGCCACCTGGGCCTCCTGGACGGAGACCCGGCCGCGGCTCTGAGGTCGACTTCAGACTGTAAGATGACAGTGACGAGACCTTGCTGCAGAGGTCACGACCTGCTGCAACCTCTGCAGCAAGTGACCTCTGCAGCAAGTGAATGATCTTTCCTCCAGCTCCAGCAGCAGGACAGAACTGACTGTTTTACAGTTTTACAGATTTCCAAAAGGAACAGACGTGAATTTGTGTCACAGATTGACTCCAAGATGTTTCCTGACGCCACTTAAGTTGTAAATCATGACTCAGTGTTCACACCAAACAAGAGCAAGCTCAAAGTTCAGTTCACACATTAAAATGAACATTTCTTCTGATTCCATATGTCAGTATGTGACTCATGTTATTTTCTGAATCAGTGTGTGTGTGAGCAGTGTGTAAACAGGTTGTAGTGTAGCTTTGTTCCTCTGCTGCCTGTGGACTGATCTCTATGTGTCTCTATGTAGGATGAGGGTCAAAGGTTGTGACCTTTATGCTCCCGAGTGCCTTCTCTCTCCGCTTCCCTACAGTGAGTCCACAACACAGTCCAATGCAGCTAGCTAACTGTAGCTAAGCTAACTGGGGTTGTCCGGCTGGCTGCGCGGTGTGGGTCTGGCGTTGGTTGCTTCGTGGTGTTGGCTGATGGGTGATTTGTAAACAGCAAGCTAGTTAGTAGCATGGAGCTAATGGTCCAAATAAAGTAAAGGAACATCCACTGCTGGTGGACGTTGAGTTGAGATGTTTGTGAACCCTCGGAGGACTCTGGTGAACTCCTCGGTGCACAAACAGGGAGGCGTCTCTTCGCTCTGCAGCTGTTTGTTTCTGTAAGAGCTGGAGCTCCTTTGATGTGTTTGTGGGTGAACCTTCAGTGAAGGTGTTAACTGTTACATTAACCAAATCTAAACGTTATGGGGTTTATTTAAAAGAAAACCCGTATCTCCTCCTGTAACGTCTCTGATGGACCAAAAACTTGTATATATTCTTTAACTTAACAACATACAATTAGTGCTGAGTTATTCCTGCCATCAAAACCACAACAACCCTTTGTATTTCTGTAATCATGACCAACTTCAACTAAACAGGGTTTTATTTGCTCACACACGCTCACACTCACAAAAACAGACCGAAAGCTTCTCATGCTGACAAAATTAAATCTGTGGTCGTGTCGGTTTTAGAGAGAAAGAAAAGAGACTAAATATATTTCAGACAATGAACTGACTCCAGTTCAGACAAACTCAAATGTACAAACACGCTGGTGTTGGTAGCAGAGCGTGAAAGCTGTCGCCCTTCATAGAAACTGAGAGCGAGCGGGGCCCGGCCCGCCTGTCTGTGGTTTCTGGAAAGCGAGGCAGAGTGAGACCTCTACGTTGTAAACAAACAGGCTGATCTCGGGTCAGCGCTGCTCCACAGGAAGCTGTGGTTCGGAGGAAGCCGATGTTTCTAAATGAATCAGACGCTGCTGAAGCTGCTCCGCCTCTCAACAGGAAGTAAAGAGCACAGAGCTGCTGTCTCTCTGCAGCCTGTCTGTCTCTCTGCAGCCTGTCTGTCTCTCTGCAGCCCGTCTGTCTCTCTGCAGCCCATCTGTCTCTCTGCAGCCCGTCTGTCTCTCTGCAGCCCGTCTGTCTGTCTCTGAACAGCTCAGCATCACTATTGAAGATCTTTTCCTGTCCAGTTGTTCATCATGCCGCCGTCCCTCCCCTATTTGTGGTTCGGGTAACCACAGCAGAGGTGTGAACTCGAGTCACGAATCTGACAAGTGCAAGCGTATAGTGACGTCGCCCATCCGTTTGTGAAGAACCGCTTTGAAGCCACAAGTTCGTCATTATGCAGCGGAGGTCACGTAAAGCGAGTTGAGCTGCTCTCATTGGCAGCTCGTCTGCTCACACAGGATCTGGTATTCCAGATAAACAGTAAAATGTGTTTGTGAACAGATTTGAGGAGAGAAATAGTCAACAACTGAATCTGGATCCATATCTGATCAGCACTGTTTGACAGTTTTATCTGAGTTTGGTTGAGCTGGACGGACTCACTGATAATGAGCTGTCAGTCACAAGGTAGCCCCGCCCTAAAGCATACCCTGCTTTATGGTCTGTTTTACTCTAAATTCAATTCAATCAATTCAATTTTATTTGTATAGCGCCAATTCATAACAGAAGTTATCTCAGGACACTTTCAAATAGAGCAGGTCAGACCGAACTTAACATTAATACAGAGACCCAACAGTACCACATGAGCAAGCACTGGCACAAGGGCAGGAAAACGCCTGTTAAAAGGCAGAAACAGGACAGATCCTGGCTCTAGGTGGGTGGTCGTCGTCTCGACCAGTTGGGGGAGAGAGAGAGAGAGGGGACAGACAACAGACAGGTGCACAGCAACAACAGTATTGGCAATGGCAGTCAAGCAGGACCATGGCGAGGCTCCACCAGGATCCAGAGAACCCGAGACAAGCACAAGAACTCCGGAAGAAGTGGAGTTAGTAACATGCATTAAAGGGACATGAATATCAGAAGAGAGAAGAGTAGCTCAGTGCACCATGGGAAATCCCCATAGTCTAGGCCTATAGCACATAACAAGGGATGGTTCAGGACTCACCGATCCAGCCCTAACTATAACTTTATCAAAGAGGAATGTCTTAAGCCTACTCTGAAAGTGGTGAGGGTGTCTGCCTCCCGAACCACAACTGGAACTGGTTCCACAGGAGAGGAGCTGGTAACGAAGGCTCTGGCCCGTCACTTTAGAGACTATAGGAACCACAAGTAGCCCAGCATTCAGAGAAGTAGTGTTCTAGTGGGGTAATAGGGTACTATGAGCTCTTAAGATATGAAGGGGCCGACCAGAAGAGCTTTATAGGTGAGGAGGAGTATTTTAAATTCAATTCTACATTTTATAGGGAGCCAATGCAGAGTAGCTAGTACAGGAGAGATGTGATCTCTTTTCTAGTTCCTGTCAGTACGGCGCAGTGTCGAATTAATTGGAGCGTTTTAATGGACTTATTGGGGCAACCTATAATAAAGAGTTGCAGTAATCCAGCCTTGAAGTAACAAATGCATGGATTAGTTTTCTGCATCTGTCTGTGATAGTATGTGTCTAATTTTCTAATATTACGTAAATGAAAGAAGGCAGTCCTAGAGGTCTGCTTATGTGGGAGTTAAATGACAAATCCTGATCAAAGATAACTCCAAGATTCCTGACAGTGGTGCTAGAGGCCAAGTTAATGCCATCAGAGTAACTATATCTTTAGACAGTGAGTCTCTAAGGTTTTGGGGCCAAGAACAAGAATTTCGTTTTTTTCTGAGTTTAACATCAGAAAATTGCAGGTCATCCAGGATTTTATGACCATCAGTTACTAAATGAACATCATGCTGTATGGAAGAAGACTGAAACTAGAGACTGAGACCAGAAACTCATCAGGAAACTGTTAACTGAGTTCATAAATCAACTTCTCCATAAGACTCAATACTATCAGACTTCTTTAATTACAGCCAGTGGAGCTGCCCCCTGCGGGCTGTTAGAAAAAGTGGTACCAACAGGTCTGGTTCATGATTTTAATAGTTCTGTTAGTGGAAATGTGATTGTGATGCAGAAATGAGCCTGCATGAAAGAATGACATTTACATTGGACTGAATGACTCTGAGAGGGCGGGTTTAACTTTTGATGCAAATTGGGTTCAACTGTCAAAGTTTAAGTTTATATTCACTGCTTCTCAGCAGGAAACGCGTTAAACGGCCTGTTGGGTTTTTGGGGCTTAATTACAGCGCCACCATCTAGCCAATTAGGCTCATGTTTCTTGGGAAACTCATACACATAATTTCTAGCTTGCGGCGAAGCTTGTGATGGACCATGTTAATTAGATTTATTTAATATAATTGAAGCAGTATGGGTATCGCAGTCAGACCAGAACTGATAGAAAGTCTATCTGTGCTTCTTTAATCTGTTCCATTTTTACAACCGGATCCTGTTCTCTGAATAATAACAAACCGTTTGTTTCCTTTCTCCTCAGCAGCCAAGGTGCATGATGGGATCTTTCCGGCGTCCCAGGCCTCGGTTTATGAGCTCTCCGGTTCTGTCGGACCTCGCTCGGTTCCACGCCAGCTCACCCTCGCTACAGATCTCCAACACCAGAGTGTGGAACAGGTCAGCTGCATACTGCCCCCCAGTGGACAAAAAGATGTTTCTGACCTCTGAACCCACAGAACGAACTTTATATAGACTCTATAATCCCACAGCACGCAGAACAGATAGTATCTCCATGTGTTTAGGACACAGCCTGTTATGTTATGGGTCCAAACATCAGATTAAAAATGAGGGGAAAGTGCTGGCTCGTGTTTTCCAGACCTCAGAGAGAGGAACAGGTTCTGGTGAAGGTCAGCAGTGTTTCTGAGCCGATCGGACTGTTTTCTGTTCGGTTGGTGTGGCGAGTTTGTGAGATTGAAGGTTGAGACTTCATAATGATTCAGAGGAACTGTTAACACAGGAAGAATCTGGAATTCATTAATCCATTTTCCTCCTCTTATCGGGGTAAACAAGGTAGTTCAGTTCCTCCTGGGGGATCCAGAGTCATTCTCAAGCCAGATGAGATATTATGAGCTTGGAAGGCAGCTGGACTCTCAAGATCACACGAGGAAGTACTGGCAAGAATTTCATCACTGAAAGAGAAGCAAAGAACGACACTGAAGGCTTTTCTTGATGGAAGAGATGTTTTCTCTCTTCTCCCGACTGACTTCTGTGAGAGTTCGACTGCATTATTCAGTTCATTGATCTGATTGGTTCGCCCTTATTCGCCCTTGTTAGACGCTGATAGACAGACGGTTCATCCAACCACCTGCCAAGTATTTTTGTGTGTCGCTCTTCCAGGCAGTTTCCAACGACAAGATCTTCCTAAGATCACATGAGACAGGCTTTAGGATGGGTTCATGGCAGCGTTTTTGGACGCAAGGGTCACGTCGCTTCCCAGCATTTGGCCACAACGAAAGGCTCCACCCTCCTACAATCACGCAAACACTTCCTGGCTGCACTTGAGTGGACGAATGTTTTCTGCTTCCTTTCCAAGAAATAATTGGTGCAGTTGTTGTCTTCAATTTCAATTCAGTTCAATTCAGTTTTATTTGTATAGCGCCAATTCATAACAGAAGTTATCTCAGGACACTTTTCAAATAGAGCAGGCCTAGACCGAACTCTTTATAACATTAATTACAGAGACCCAACAGTACCACCATGAGCAAGACCTTGGAGACAAGGGCAAGGAAACACTGCCTGTTAAAAGGCAGAAACCTAGGACAGATCCTCTAGGTGGGTGGTCGTCTGCCTCGACCAGTTGGGGAGGGGGGGAGGGAGAGGGGGGGAGAGAGAGAGAGAGAGAGAGAGAGAGAGAGAGAGAGAGAGAGAGAGAGAGAGAGAGAGAGGTGTTAATGGTTAGTTTAAAAGTTTTACAGGAGTTTTTAGAGGAGGCAGGTCGCCCCTGATTTGCATAAAGCAGCCGGCAAATGAGGAGCCGCCAACAGGACAACCCGATCTCTCAGAGCACTACCAGAATGCATTGCATGAACAATGTATTCTTACAGAAACAATGACTATAAGCGTGGAAAGGACTGATCCTGTGAACTTAAGGCGCCTAATGTCGGTGTGTCCCATTAGAGTCCAGATATTTGTGGTGCAGCTCAGTTTCTCAGTGTGTTACGGTTGTTTCAGCACCGCTCAGTCTTCGGCCTGTTTCCTGCAGGATGTTTAGTAGGAAGTGGAGGTGGCAGTCGGGCCACGTCCTGTCAACCAGCTGAGTCACACACGAGGACCGCCGCACACTGACACACTTCACAGTAACTGCCAGTGGCGTCCACTTTCTTTTATTACGAGGAGGAGACGAGTGAAACTACCCAACAGTTTATACAAGTACAGCTGAAAGTAATCCATTAATCAATTAGCTGATTGACAGAAAATCTATGGTTAAAGTCATTTTTCATGTAAAAGTATTTCATGGTTCGAGCTTCACTAATGTGAATATTTACTTTCATTTTAATAATTTTTATGTATTTGTAATAATTTTGAGGTTTGAACTGTTGGCTAGGCTAATCTGTGTTTAAAGACAACCACATTGTGAAGATGGTTCACATCTTAAGTTAGCTAATGTCAGCAAAAATCTAGCTCATCTCCATAAATCATTAGTTGGGTAATTAGCTAGCTAACGATTAATTTAGATTAGTTAACTTACAATTTATGTATCTAAGCTAAATAGTTATCTAGAGTTATTTGAAGAAATGAATATGTGACTATATACACAATCTACAAAATGTGGTTGTCTTTTCAACATAGATTAGCCTAGCATATAGCATGCCTAAGTACAGGAAAGGAGGAAGTTGCTGTTGTTGGACCACAAAGCAAAACTATTTTCAGAAACAAATGAATGAGTCATAATTATCTAATAATATCATATATAATAGTACAACAGTCACAGTTTGATACTTAAAATACATTTTACTGATTACGCACACATACTTTTACTTATGTACTTCTACCTGTGTGGGCTGAGCTCTTTTATAATACTTCCTTCAAAACATCATAACAACTAAATCAACTTTTTATAGAAGACGTCTCACAGATTTGTAATCATGTGCAACTGAACTAAATAATTATAATGTGTATACTGGAATTTATACGCCTCTATTACCACAACTGTAGCTTATATAAAACATATTGACCTCTGATCTTTGTGTGTCCTCAGTGTCCAATCAGCTGTGATCAAGGTGTTCCAGGGTGGAGCTCTGCAGGCCAACGAGCTGTACACGCTTAACGAGAGCATCAGGTGACGTTAAATCTTAAACTGTAAAGTATCTCTAGCAGTCAGATAAATACATGTAGTAAAAAGTACAATATTTACCTCTGAAGTAGTGATGTGGTGGTGGTGTCGGGTAGGGGGGGGTAAAAATATTGATTCATCAATGCATTAAAATATATTTTTTCCCAATTCAATATGGATTCATTAAATCCTCTGAATCGATTCAAGCCCCTGGCCAGTGGGGGCGCGGTAAGCTAACACCTTTGTGTGATTTGCGTTGTAAGGACGAAGGCCGCACTCGACCATACAACAATAACATGGCAACCAAAGCAGGTAGCGACAGTGTTAAACCAACGCCTTCAACTTTAAAAGCAGACGTTTGGAGTCATTTTATATTCCTGTGTAAACCCGGAAAAGGAAATAGACAAAAGTGAGGTAGTGTGTAAGCTGTGCCAGATACTACTAAAATACTGCAACCGCCGACACCATGCAGATGCTCTGCAGCAACCCGCGGCTAAACCTGTGGATTCAAAACAGACGCAACTCGACAAATCCTTCCTTTGCAAACTGCCGCCAAACTCTGCCCGCGGACAGAAGATAACGGAGTCTGTGGCCGTCTTCATATGTAAGGACCTACGACCGTACAGTGTTGTGGAAAATGGGGGTTTTAAGAAGATGGTATACACACTGGAACCACAATACGCCATACCAACACGCAAACACATGGCGGAAGTCGCCGTCCCAAAGCTGTAATTCTACTTATTACTGAATCGATATCGGAGCATTAAAATCAATATCGAATCAATATCCAATCGAATCGTGAGGTTCTTAACAATACCCAGCCCTAGTGTCAGGGCTGTTTGACACGTTATTTAACTTAAATGTGCCTTTAGATCCACTTCAGTAGATAGAAACAGATCTGTTAAATTGATCCCAGTATGTCAGAGAACAGATCAACCATCTGTCCACAGGTGTCCCACAAGGATTGTTCCTGGGCCCATTACTATTTACATTATAACTATTTTAAACATTGTTAATATACATAAATAAAACAACTAAAGAAGTTGATTTCCTTACATAGTGTGTCTTACCCATTTTGCAAGCTAACGTTAGTCAAATAACACATCAACTCAGATAGTATTTTGGTAGCAATAACATTAACGAGCAAGCAATCTAAAGTTAGCCAGTCAAATTAGGAGTCTGGATGAAGCTAGCTGACTATATCTTGCTACGTTAGCTAGCTTGCAATTTGTCTGCATTAGCAAGTAAGCTAATATTATTCAGCTTAAAGCACAATCAGACAGTATGTTCCACAAGCTCTGCAGTAATGTTAGCTTTGACTTAGACTACATAACAACCTGTTCACTAATTGGCAATAAAACGTGATTAATACACAACATCACACTTAACAAAAAGACCAACCTACAAATAAATATTACTAAGATGGATGATTCCTCTGTCATCATTATTAAATATCAGAAAGATCAATAATTAATCTATAGAGCTCATATTGAAATACAGTTCGCTATCAAATTAAAAAGAAAATTAACATGGAAGTAAATGTAAATAAAAAGATGAACTCTATCTCTAAACTTTTCATTGTGCCTTTGATCTGACATTTTACAGAAGGATGTGTCTTTATCTGACCTCTGATTTCCCAGAATGCTCAGTAAACTGGGCCTCAGTGTGAAGGTGAGGAGAGGAAACTGAACTCCTCTGTGTCTTTACAGGTGGCTCCTTAAAACTGAGATGGGCTCCTTCATCACAGACTACTTCCAGGTATCTTTATTTCCTGTTTTTATGTAATAAAAACTGAGTGTTTGTTTTTAACAATCAGAGGAAACATTAGTTGATGTTGATGCGGTCACCCCACTTCCTGTATCTGTGTTTGTAACAGTCTAATGATTACAGTCTGCTGATGCCGGAGGTTTTAGTTTATCTGATGAAGATATATTGGCTGATATTAATGATACCACAAATTATTTAGCAGTTAAGTAATAAACTGTAGTATCAAGTTTGACAGTAACAAATTATGGACAGTAAACCTAACTGCAGAGGAATTATTATAAATAATCAATACAAACATATTCAACAAAGTTATATAAAAAACTTAACAAGTAAAATAACTTAAATATACTTATATATATATTTATTTTGTTTGTAGCTGTTAGCCGACTCCGTTTATAAGCTTACATTAGTTAGTGTTGCCCACTGTTGGCACTGTAGGGAAGCGGAGAGAGAGAAGGCACTCAGGAGCATAAAGGTCGCAACCTTTGACCCTCATCCTACATAGAGACACATAGAGATCAGTCCACAGGCAGCAGAGGGACAAAGCTACACTACAACCTGTTCACTCTCTGGCAATAAGAACTAACAAACTTTTCATTGTCCAAAAAAGAGAAGAATAAATGTCACAACATCCCACACGGTTCTCGGTTCTTTCAGATCAGGTTTCACACTCACACATGCAGCTGTGTGCTGGTCTCATTAATCCATCCAGACACATCAGACTGTAAAAACGCTTTCAGTCGCTGTGAGTCTGAACTGATCACGTGATGTGGAGCTCACGGTCCGCTGCAAACTGTGAAGATGTTTATCTGTCCACCACGAGAGGTTTGTTCTCTTCAACTGCTGGAAAAACCTTCTGCAGAAGAGCCACAAGTGTTGACTCGTTCAACTCTCAGCAGATGGATCTCAGGTTGATTTAAATACTGCACTGCAGTCCGTGCGGTCATGTGAGCGCGTTTACCTGGTAAGGATCACAACTCAAAGCCTAATGTAGCTTCAGGTCAAATAAAACTGTATTCTGAATAATGTTGTCCTGGAAGAGGAATTCATACTCACCAAAAGGACAGCCTTTCAAAATAAAGTTGATTTACAGGAAAAACAAAGAATGAAAGTTAATAAAATATAAAACATCAGTTAATAAAAAGTCAGAAGATAAAAGTGAGTTTAAATAAGTTTTTTAAGGTCCAGTGCAACATTGAGGCGTAAATATAATAGTGTAACAGTCACAGGAATATAATATCCATAAGTATGTTTTCATTATGGTTTAATCAGCTGAATATAAGAATCATGAGAGGTTTTTATCTACAGAGGGAGCGGGTCCTTTTCTGAGTCCACCATGTTGAACCACAATGTTTCTACAGTAGCTCAGAACAGACAAACCAAACTGACAGACCCTTTCATAGAGAGCTTTGCATTTTTCGCAAATTTCGCAGCCACCATAGTTTGTCCTACACACTTTGAAGGTGACCTGAAAGAAGGTTAAACCTCCCCGACAGCAGCCGTCTCTGAGCGGGTCTGTGACTGTTGGTGTGTTAAATCTTGCATGGGTGGGCCAAACAGGTGCTTAGAGCCAATAGAGCGTGTAAGAGTAGAACTTCTTCCTGAACTGGACAAAAAGTTCAGGCTGTGAAGAAAAGTAAAAAGTAATCTCTGGTTCCTCTGAACGCCGTTTTCGTACTAACTGTAACCAAAACTTCAAACAGGGTCGAGTCTGCGTCTCTCGTCTTTATGTACATCATGCGTGATATACGGAAGGTGTGTGATGCTGTAAATATAATAATTTTGATGGTAGTTTGGTGACGTACGGCTGCAATGGAAACCTACATCTTGCGGAATTTGCATGAATTGTTTTGATCGCAACTTCCTGGAGGGACTGAAAAACAAATAATAATCGATTGTTCACAGTAAAATCCTGTTTTATATTAATGCAGCAGTTTGTCAGTCGGTCTCATTTCAGGGCAGATTTTGTTGTTTTTAGTATTTTTGCAGTGAAACAAAATGAAGCTGATTCAGTCAGTGAACGTCTCTTCATCCTCGTTATGAATCGGTTCCGCTGCAGATAGCGAGCTGTAGATCGGCAGATGGTGGTGGCGAGGACAGACATCCTCTTCCTGTTCTGTCTTCCTGTCACATCTGTCCACAATCTCCTTCCTGTCCTCAAGGATCTGACCTCTGCAAAATAAAGAAAGCTTGTTTGAACTTCCAAATTAAACGTTTCTCGTCACCACGAACGAGACGATGACCTTGGTTTCCCTCAGGGTCACGTGTTGCATCACCTCCTGTTTCTTCAAAATGGAGCTCCACAATAATGACTCTGCAGAATTTAAAACCTTTAACAGAGTTGAATCTTACTGTAAGTGTAATTTAAAGATGTTGCTGCTAGTATTCAAATACTCTAATGCTGACATAGAGTGGACAGTTAGTTAGAGCCGCTAGCTCAACTACAAACAAGTGGCACACAGGAACTTTTACAAACAGCATGAATATGCTTCTAGTGACTAAAAGCTCCAGCAGACAACAGCTGCTCATTAGCTCTGTTAGCTCTGACTAGCAGCTCACTACCAAACTTAAAGGGTGTAGTTACACTTTAAAGGGCTTTACTACGGAGCCCCTAAAGGGACATGGGGGAAAAAAAAAAAAAAGAAACGTTTCTAGTGCGCACTAGATACTATCTTGTGAGCACTAGATACTATCTTGTGCGCACTAGATCCCTATCTAGTGAGCACTAGATACTATCTAGTACTATCTAGTGCGCACTAGATAGTATCCATATTGTGGCGAATCAACACATGGCTAATTTTAATATTAAAGTATTAAACTAATTTAACACTAAAAAATACTACTAAAAAAACTAAACAAACAACAAAAAAAATAACTAAAAAATAAATGTAAATTAATCTGTAACCTTTTTTGTTACAGTCCGCGTTTAAATGCCCTGTCCTGCAGCCGGACACTCATTTGTCCTCCTTTTGAGAAAATAACAAAAACAGTCCACCTTTTGACACATTACCTTGTTAGTTTAATACTTATTTACGGAGCCCCTAAAGGAACATGGAAAAAAAAAAAAAAAAAACGTATCTAGTGCTCACTAGATACGGATTGAGTGTTGTGGCATTAAAATTAGCCATGTGTTAATAGGTCACAACACGAAAATGTAACCAATGAAATTACTTATTTTGACACACATTTTAAGCCAATAAGTATTAAACTAACAAGGTAATGTGTCAAAAGGTGGACTGTTTTTGTTATTTTCTCAAAAGGAGGACAAATTAGTGTCCGGCTGCAGGACAGGGCATTTAAATGCGGACTGTAACAAAAAAGGTTACAGATTAATTTACATTTATTTTTTAGTTTAATACTCATTTGAATATTAAAATTAGCCATGTGTTGATTCGCCACAATATGGATAGTATCTAGTGCGCACTAGATAGTACTAGATACTATCTAGTGCGCACTAGAAACGTTTTTTTTTTTTTTTTTTTTTCCATGTCCCTTTAGGGGCTCCGTACTTTACAGAAAACTATTGAACTATTAAAAAGTTTTTTCTGATCGTATTTCCTATTAAATCTGATGTTTTGACTCCTCGAGAATCTAGAAAAGTTGAATAATGAGTGTTTAGATTCTCGTTGGATATTTGTGAGATTATAATGTTTGAAAGACTTGAAACTAGTTTCTTTTTATACAACTCACCCTTTTTAAATTATATTATTATAACCGTAATAAAATTTAAATTCTATTAAGGATTAGAGTTAGAGTGACAGGTTGGTGCCGTCACAGCAACTGAACAACTTTTAAAGACTTTAATGATATTAAATTTGTCCGTATGAACTGATGTGTAAACTCTGTGTTCCAGAACCAGCTGCTGACTCGTGGTCTGTCTGAAGTCCTGGATCAGGTCCTCCCCCACTCTGGTGAGAATGCTTTGTGGTTTTTCTGTCTGAACTCTGAACTGGAGACTCTCTGGTTTAGAGTTTATCCATCAATAATAAAATAAAGCTTTAATATCCCTGAGGGTCACTTCTTTTACTTTGTATGTGTATGTTTATGTGAGAGGAGCTGATTCAGGTCTCTGAGTTCTGCTCCCAGGAGCCGCTGTTACTGGTCACTTCCTTGGTTGTATTGTGTTTCTATTTAAAGCTGCTGGGATCAATAACCTTCAGTCTGATGTAATAAGACACACGGTTGTTGTTCTGTTTGTGTTTACAGACACCACAACAACAGATACATTAAAGTGTAATGATGTCGGGGATGTTAGACATGTTGCCGTGGTGTTATGGGATGCGTTTCAACAACCTATAGTGTCTCCCGTAGGTGATGAGCAGCTCGTCGTCCTCGCCGACATGTGGGACAGATTCTTCACAGAGATCCTCCCGACCCTGCAGGCCATCTTCTACCCCGTCCAGGTACACACACACTAATGTACACACACACACAGACTAACGTACACACACACTAATGTACACACACACACAGACTAACGTACACACACACACTAATGTACACACACACACAGACTAACGTACACACGCACTAACGTACACACAGACTAACGTACGTACACACACACTAACGTAGGTACACACACACACAGACTAACGTACACATTGAATTGAATGCTAAGCTAAGCTATCTGTTTCAGTGTTTATGCTAAGCTATCTGTTTCAGTGTTTATGCTAAGCTAAGCTATCTGTTTCAGTGTTTATGCTAAAACTTTTTAGTGTTTATGCTAAGCTATCTGTTTCAGTGTTTATGCTAAGCTACTGTTTCAGTGTTTATGCTAAGCTACTCTGTTTCAGTGTTTATGCTAAGCTAAGCTATCTGTTTCAGTGTTTATGCTAAGCAACTATCTGTTTCAGTGTTTATCTAAGCCGTTTCAGTGTTTAGCTAACTATCTGTTTCAGTGTTTATGCTAAGCTATCTGTTTCAGTGTTTATGCTAAGCTATCTGTTTCAGTGTTTATGCTAAGCTAAGCTATCTGTTTCAGTGTTTATGCTAAGCTATCTGTTTCAGTGTTTATGCTAAGCTATCTGTTTCAGTGTTTATGCTAAGCTATCTGTTTCAGTGTTTATGCTAAGCTATCTGTTTCAGTGTTTATGTGGGCAGTCACAGAACAACAGGCTCCTGTTGCTGCTGGACTTTATGTAAAAGATCATATTTGACTGCAGCCTGGTTCAGTCTTCCGGAGGGTGAACGTTAGGTAAATCCACCTGCCCACAGGTGTGTTTACATTGTTTACCTGCATACAGGTGAACAGACCTGGCACATGAAGAGACAGTTCAGGTCAGTTTAAATTATTGATATGAAATTGGATGAGGTCAGAGATCAGACCGAAGAGCTTCAGGTTGAAAACACAGATTAAGTGATGAATGATCAGAACCTCAGACTCCATTAATCAAGGCCACTTCACATTTTGAGAGCCTTGTTTCCATGGCAACGTGAATAAACAGTAGTGATTGGTCTTTTAGATTTGAAACGGAACAAAAGCTAAGCTACGATAGCTCTCCACCCATTTTCAGTCTTCTTGCTAAACTGAGGTTTTTATTTTCACCTGTTTCTAGACATTATGCTAAGCTAAGGTAGCTGTTTCTCTGTTTCCAGTCCTCAATCATTTTCAGCCGCTGCAGTCACAACAGGTTGTTGTTGTTGTTGTTGTTGTTCCTGTGTGATATTTGAATAAGTGTTTGAGTTTGTTTTCACGTTTATCTGATAAAAGAGGAAAGTTTCTCTCTGAGCGTTAGCGTTAGCATGCTACTACTGAAAGCACCACTGTGTCACAGAGTCCACACACAGGTGTGACAGTGTGTGTGTGTGTGTGTGTGTGTGTGTGTCTGTGTGTGTGTGTGTGTGTGTGTGTGTGTGTGTGTGTGTGTGTGTGTGTGTGTCTGTGTGTGTGTGTGTGTCTGTGTGTCTGTGTGTGTGTGTGTGTGTGTGTGTGTGTGTGTGTGTGTGTGTGTGTGTGTCTGTGTCTGTGTGTCTGTGTGTGTCTGTGTGTGTGTGTGTGTGTGTGTGTGTCTGTGTGTGTGTGTGTGTGTGTGTGTGTGTGTGTCTGTGTGTGTGTGTGTGTGTGTGTGTGTGTGTGTGTGTGTGTCTGTGTCTGTGTGTGTGTGTGTGTGTGTGTGTGTGTGTCTGTGTGTGTGTGTGTGTGTGTGTGTGTCTGTGTCTGTGTGTGTGTGTGTGTGTGTGTGTGTGTGTGTGTGTGTGTGTGTGTGTGTGTGTGTGTGTGTGTGTGTGTGTGTGTGTGTGTCTGTGTCTGTGTCTGTGTCTGTGTGTGTGTCTGTGTGTGTGTGTGTGTGTGTGTGTGTGTGTGTGTGTGTGTGTGTGTGTGTGTGTGTGTGTGTGTGTGTGTGTGTGTGTGTGTGTGTGTGTGTGTGTGTGTGTGTGTGTCTGTGTGTGTCTGTGTGTGTGTGTGTGTCTGTGTGTGTGTGTGTGTGTGTGTGTGTGTGTGTCTGTGTGTCTGTGTGTGTGTGTGTGTGTGTGTGTGTGTGTGTGTGTGTCTGTGTCTGTGTGTGTGTGTGTGTGTGTGTGTGTGTGTGTGTGTGTGTGTGTGTGTGTGTGTGTGTGTGTGTGTGTGTGTGTGTGTCTGTGTGTGTGTCTGTGTCTGTGTCTGTGTCTGTGTGTGTGTGTGTGTGTGTGTGTGTTGCGTTCAGGGTCAGGAGCTGACAGTGAGGCAGATGGCTCTGTTGGCCTTCAGAGACCTGGTGCTGTTGAAGCTCCACCTGGAGGAAACTCTGGGAACTGCAGCCTCCGTCCCTCCTGCTGTCACACAGATGCTGCTGGTGCTGCAGGTAAACAAACACTGATGATAACGGATTATTCTGGTTAATTACATCTTACTGTCGAGGTTTTAGACTTTATTTCTATCAGTTATTTAGTTTGACACAGTTTATTCACAAGATCTTAAACCCTTTTATTTTGAGAAAACTTCCAGTCTTTATGCTAAGCTAAGTTAGCTGTATTGTTCCTTGTAATGACATCCCTCCACTTTGTCTAATGGCTCAGATTTAACCTCAGTGTTTCTCTCAGGGCGTCCATGAGTCTGGAGGTCCCAGTGTGGAGTATCACCAGTTGGAGCGTCTGGTGGAGATCGTCGTGTCTCCGTATCTTAGCAACGTTCTGCACAACAAAAACCAGTTCCTGTTAGGTTGGTACTGAATAATAAGACTGTGAATAATCAGATTATTGATCAGATTATTGATCAGATTATTGATCAGATTATTATTATTATATTATTGATGAGCAGAGTGTGAACAGGTTGTAGTGTAGCTTTGTCCCTCTGCTGCCTGTGGACTGATCTCTATGTGTCTCTATGTAGGATGAGGGTCAAAGGTTGTGACCTTTATGCTCCCGAGTGCCAACAGTGGGCAACACAGATCCACACCAAACACAGAGTCCACAACACAGAGTCCACAACACAGAGTCCACAACACAGAGTCCACAACACAGAGTCCACAACACAGAGTCCACAACACAGAGTCCACAACACAGAGTCCACAACACAGAGTCCACAACATTGTGGGTCTGGTGTTGCATTGTGGGTCTGGTGTTGCATTGTGGGTCTGGCTATTGCTGATTGTAAGGGTCTGGTGTTGCATTGAGTAAGGTCAAAAAAAAAAAAAAAAAAAAAAAAAAAAAAAAAAAAAAAAAAAAAAAAAAAAAAAAAAATAAATAATAAAAAAAAAAAAATTAAACAGTGGTGTTGCATTGTGGGTCTGGTGTTGCATTGTGGGTCTGGTGTTGGCTGATGGCTGATTAGGGGTGTAGAAGCTCAGATGGTCGGGAAGCCATTAGGGATTTATTAGCAATAAATGAGCTAACGGATCCAAATACAATATAGGAACATTGCAGATAGTAACGTTATTCTAAATATGACTGTCAGTTATTTTACAGCGTTCAGTGTTTGGAAGTAAACGCTCCAGTATGTTGACTTTTAGCAGCGTGGCTAACAGATGCTGCTCTGGTTTTACAAACTAAAGCCTTTATCCGTCTGGGCTCAGTCAGTGAACCGCAGGAAGAAGGGAACGTGTAATTCCTTCAGCCAGGTTTCACAAACAAACTCGCCACGGCTGGCAAAGCCTGATGGGATTAAAGTCCTAATCCTCGCTGCGACTTGAAACAGGCCAGCAGGGAGGTTTTCCTGCTGGAGGCCACTTCAGGAACCCAACAATACTGTTATATAATACTAATATATGAATATGTCACCCTGCAGTTAAAGCCCCACAACAAGCAGCAGGAACACACACTCATTGTACTTCCTTCATTAGAGCAAGAACATTAAATAAGTTTTAAAAAAAGACACATTTTTGACATTTTAAACATTATTAAATCATTAACCTGTATTTGTGTTGTATTTTGATAATTATATTAATTTAATGTAAGTCTAAAACACTGAAGCTGCTAACAGTCATTAAGTTTCACACAAACGTAAAAGCAAAACTTGGTGGTTTTTTACACTTTTATTAAGTCAAACACAAGATGTAACATGTTAATGAGCCCTGAGCATCGATCACACTGCACAGCTTCCTGTCTTGAAGTCATTGTGGTTTTCACACCTCTTCTTTATTAGTAAAGTCGTTTATAAACAGGCACACAAGGGAAGACTATTTACAGCACAGTGCCGTGAGAAACTAATTACACAATTAACTGATAGCGATCCTGATCAGCCAGCATCAGTAATCAATACTCCCATTAATAAAGCATCAATCAAACTGATACCATCAATCAACCTGATCAGCCTTCAGCAGTTAGCTAGTGTTTCTGTAGTGGAGACTAAACGTTAACAATGATCCATATCAGCAGTTTGAATCCAACTAAAAGCTCCCTGCACCAAACTCCCTTTAAGAAATATCACATTTTAACAATTCCTAACGTGTTCGTAACAACACGTAACTCTAGAAACACGAGCTAAAGGCCGTCATATGTCCACAGTCTGACTGTCAATACAGGATCAATATCATCCATAAAGATACAGTGTATACTGATCAATATCATCCATAAAGATACAGTGTATACTGATCAATATCATCCATAAAGATACAGTGTATACTGATCAATATCATCCATAAAGATACAGTGTATTCTGATCAATATCATCCATAAAGATACAGTGTATTCTGATCAATATCATCCATAAAGATACAGTGTATTCTGATCAATATCATCCATAAAGATACAGTGTATACTGATCAATATCATCCATAAAGATACAGTGTATACTGATCAATAATCAATAAAGATACAGTGTATACTGATCAATAATCAATAAAGATACAGTGTATACTGATCAATATCATCCATAAGGATACAGTTGATGAACTGTTCCTTTAAAGCTCCTCTTCCTGTTTCCTGTTTCCTGTCTCCTCCTCCAGAGTCTCGCCATCTGCGGCCATCGGGGTTGTTGCTAGGCGACCAGTCCCAGCCGGAGATCACCGTCACCGAGCACCACAACTCCTCCGACTCGTCGTCTCTGGCCCCGCTGGTGGAGCAGGAGGGCGAGGCCTACCTGGAGAAGTCGGGCGGCGTGCGGCGCCACACGGTGGCCAACGCGCACTCTGACGTTCGGCTGCTGTCGGCGTCAGGCAGGATGCATGCTGGGACGGAGGAGGACAACGGGGTGGGAGGGGGCGAGGGAAGCGTGGAGTTTCTGGTGGCCGGCGGGCCGATGAGTCCCAGACCGTTCTCCAGCCAACCGGACATGGTGGAGTCTCCGAGGGGAGGAGTTATCTGCTAGCCGCTGAGCCTGATGGACAATATGGGACAGGAAATAACAGGACAGTGTGGGAATTTCAAAATAAGACATAAAAAAGACAAGATGGGACAAGATAACAGAGTATGACAGGAAACAGGAAACAGGACAGTGGAAGTGTTGATCCGTCCCACAGCTCCCAGCAGGAGGAACAGCTCCGGGTCCGTACTGGATCTGAACCACTGAATCTGGTGTTTATTAAAGCGCTGGTCCTGGTTTGTTGTGGTCCTGGATCAGGGTTGTTGTGGTCCTGGATCAGGGTTCTTGTGGTCCTGGATCAGGGTTGTTGTGGTCCTGGATCAGGATTGTTTTGGTCCTGGATCAGGAATGTTTTGGTCCTGGATCAGGGTTGTTGTGGTCCTGGATCAGGGTTGTTGTGGTCCTGGATCAGGGTTCTTGTGGTCCTGGATCAGGGTTGTTGTGGTCCTGGATCAGGGTTCTTGTGGTCCTGGATCAGGGTTGTTGTGGTCCTGGATCAGGGTTGTTGTGGTCCTGGATCAGGGTTGTTGTGGTCCTGGATCAGGGTTGTTGTGGTCTTGTGGACTGCAGGTTCTGGTTCTGCTCAGGTCATGTAGATACGTTCTGTTTTAGGATTGTTAACGAATAATAAAGATTAATTAAACTAATTCAAACCTTTAAATGTTGAACTGTGTTTTCTTCAGGAGACGTTGGTGAACGCTTCCTAAGCCCCGCCCCTTTTAGAACCTCGGTCAACTTCCTGTGCTTAGATACGCTACGTGCTAAGCTAATCTATGTTGAACAGACAACCACATTTTGAAGATGGTTAAAAGATAAGAGACATTTATAAAGTCTAGTTATCTAATCTACACCAAGGGTTAGCTAGGTAACTGTTAATGTAGATTAGCTAGTGAATTAACTACTTAACTAGCAGCTTCATTATTGTGATTATTGTTAATTTCAGAGGTCGCCATCAACTCTTTAGCTGTTTGATTACCCACAATGCAGTGCGCTGTTTGCATTATGTTCAGTATAAATACCTTAAATATTTAGTGCTGTCAGTTAAACGCGTTATTAACGGCGTTAACACTTTGTAGTTTTTTTCACATGCTGTTGCAACAACTAGTAACATTAGAAAAACTACAACACCACACCGGATCTAGTTAGACCGGAAACAGAACAACACACACTTGTTTAAGAGTAGTAGACGTTACGTTTTGAGTGGATGGCGAGCGCAAGACGCCGAAATGGATGCCACTAATATTCTGAATGGAAAGTTTACTTTTAAAAAGTTGCCTAATGGTTCCATTGACAAGACCAAAGATCTGTGTGTTCTGTGGTTGTGAACTGAGCTATCATCGCAGCACGTCCAGTCTGAAATACCACCTGATGGCCAAACACACAGCTGATACGAACTCCGCCCCCTCGTCAAAGCCAGGCGACAATAAGAAATCAAGGGACGTTTAGAATAGATAAAGATGTGCGATTAATTGCGAGTTAACTATGACATTAATTCGATTAATTGCGATTAAATATTTGAATCGTTTGACAGCACTATAAATAATGTAAAAGCTAATGTGAACAGACAGAAAGCTGCTCGCTGTCACTGAGTCTTTTACCTGCGCTGCTCCACATAAATTTAATGCATTTAACAGCCTAACTGCTCTCGTCACTGCCTGACCTCTGACCTCTGACCCAGGCTGGATAGGGAGTAGTATTGAGGTCACATGTCACTTAATCCTCACATCTAATTCCTCTGCTTCCTTCCACTGACTGACTCAGATCGACTGTTTTATTTCTCATTAACTGATTTCTGGTTATTTTGCTCCTGTAACGTCTTCTTTAACTCTGATATCATAAAAATATCCAAAGGGCACAGACACGTTATTTTTTATATACAGCACCAAAATCTATCAACTGTTTCCATTTGTGAGGGATGTTTAGGTACAATATCATACAGATATTCAGCGAGTACGATTGGAAAGCTCATTAAAGAGTAAACTTCATATCCAAATATGTTGATTTGTTTTGTTGAGGTAACTGTTGATGAAGAACTGTGGACGCAAACATTCAGTAACTATACATTAGATTTTCTCAGGATGTAACTTTACTAACTCTCATATTTTATGTGAAACAATAGATAATAAAAATAGTTTTCCCAGCATATACGACATGTTTTTACTTTAAAAATATATTTTGATAAAATCTTTCAACCATTACCAAAAGGTTCTGACAGTATTTTTGGGCCTAAAAATGTTTTTCCATTTTTATGAAAATGTGTCAAATTTGTATGATTTTAATGATTTAAAAAGAAAAGTCTTGTATTTGTACTGTGCTGGTTAGACTGGAATAGTTAGATTACACTAGATAAGATCTGAATGATCTGTGGGGATGGATTGGATGTTGGTTTACATATATTTTAATGTAGTTTGAGTGTCATTTAAAATGACTGCTATACTGCCCCCCCGTGTGGTGTTTCAGAGAAGTGAAGCCTCTGTTCACTGGTCCCAGTTGTCTCTGAAGTCTTCTGTAGGTTTATTTCAAATATACATTATTGGAGAACCAACTCACACAGTGCAGATTTTATTAAATGTTAGTAAACTGTTTCTTCAGTAAAACTGTCAGTATAATGAGTAAACTGTAGTTGAAGTGTTAAACTGTGATGGTTGTACTCAACTATTTTAACTATGCAAGCAGCAAATCTGGAACCTGAATGTTTTCACATGAAAAATCTAAATGATAATTAAAAATCTTAATTATTAAAGTAAGGAGTAACTAAAGTTGTCAGATAAATAAGTAGAAAGTGTTGTGAAGAGTAAATACTTAAAGTACAAAACTCCACTCAAAAATCATTGAATTTATTGACACTTTATTTATCAGCCATATTATTAAACTGATGAGCAGCTGCACTGTAAATAGAATAAGATAGTTTTATTTATTATTCTAAATTAATCAATTTAATTAAGTTACTATTATTACTATTGTCACTGCTCATTGTCCGCCATCGTTATTGTCGTAGTTGTCATCGTCTTCTTCATGTTCATCATCATAAGTCACTACTATTCTGTTTGTCTGTCTGTCTCTCTCTCTCTCTCTCTCTCTCTCTCTCTCTCTCCCACCCACCCACCTAGAGCCGAAGGGTCTGTCGGCGGTTTCTGCCTCTTAAAAGGCAATTTTTCCTTGCCCTTGTCTCCATGGTCTTGCTCGTGGTGGGAACTGTTGGGTCTCTGAGAGAGAACTGTATGAAATGTTACACACACAAGCAATATGACTTTATGTACAATGTTCCTAAATGTGGTTGCAATCCAATTCAGCATTAAAGAATTATGACCCATTAAGTTCATCATAGACAATACAGACCTCTGACTTCCATCTACAGCATTGACCTCTGTCCTGTATCTACAGCATTGACCTCTGTCCTGTCCTCTGTGACTTTAGTATTATTGTTAAATGGACTCAGGTTTTTATTAACTGTTGTTTGACAATCATGACACTTTCATTCATTGCTGCTTGCAGCTTTAATCTAACTTTAATTTAACCTTGAAACTATATTTGTGAGGGTTTTTTAAAGTGTTCAGTAGGAACCAATGGGCTTGGAGCTGAGAGCCTCAGATAGTAATTAGAGACATACAAACATGTTGTTGGTTTAAGTCTGAACACGAAATTTGACAAAAATAAATATGAATAATTCAGAATTAAAAACAACTTTATCCTTTAAGAACGTTCTGATGTGGTTTCGAGGAGACAACTGAAACTTAATTAACTGTAATTAAAGATGAATCCAGAGATGTAAATGTGTTTATTAGTGATTTTTGTGTTACAACCAGAACTAAAATCTGAGTTAAAAGATATATAAACAGCACCAGTGCTTCAAATATAAACTCTACATTTCAGCTGTATCAGGTACATTTATTTGTGTTTTCTTTAACAGAGACGAAGGTGGTTTCTACACAGGAGTCCAGCTCTGGTAAACAAACACATCATTCACAGATTTGGCACAGAAAGTTTATTTTAAAAACAAGAATCATCCCAAAGTTGCAGCGGGATTCAGGTTCACATTATCTACACTCTAACATTCAACCTTTAGTAGGACATGGCTTGAATTCTCCACATGAACTGTTATTAAAAACAATATCAGAGGCTACATTGCAAGTTAAGGCAGCAATTAGACTTATAGTTATTGATTTTGTTTATTTTTGTGTTTTTACAGATGATGTTCTGAATTCTGGCACTTTGTTCATCTTAAAAACTCTGTGACTTTTAATAATAATTGTTTTTTAAAAATCTGGCAGTTGAGATATGAATGAAAATGGCAGAAAACACACAAACTATAGAGCAGTGACGTGAGCAGAGCTGCAGGTTCCAGATGTTTTTCCAACATAAATTCACATTTTAAAGCTTTCTTTAAAGGTTTAATATGTAACTTTCAGAAGAACGTTAACAGCGCCACCAGTGGCCGTTGGGTGAACTGCAGTCAGCATCGTAGCCGGATGCCCCTCCCTCACATCGCTCTTGGCTAGTAGAAAGCTATCGTTAGCTTTGTGCTGTTCCATCATTTATTGTTGGCTAAAATCAACAGTTTGTCAGAATCCAGAAGTTAGTATTATGGATGGGGAAGCAGTCTTTTGTTTACAAATCAAACAAGTGTTTTGCATCTGTTACCACGCTGACCGGCTTTTCTCCATAGCAACAGCAGCTGAGGCTCATGGGTAGTGAAGTAGGAAAAAGACGCCAGGAACTAGCAGCAGCTCCTCCCAACTCCTGTATGAACACCTTTAACCTGAACTACGTCCACAGACCGGTGTGTGTTAGTCTTATGTGGATCCTTATGTGTACACACACACACACACACACACACACATTCACACAATACAAATCTACATCTCACTTATGTTACAGCATGTTGTCGTTTCTCCAGCCTGCCGACCTCTATGTGACCTCTGCGTCAAACGCTTCGTCCTCAGAGGTCTAAGTTCAAGTCTACTGTTTCTGTTGACTATTGTGACGTCTCTATGGTAACCAGGTCGCGGCGGGGTCAGAGTTCAGATGCTGACGGCTGCTGCAGTCGTCTATCTGCTCCTGAGAGCTGTCTCCTCTCATCGCCGGCCCCTAGTGGGAAATCTATGTGAGTGCAGGTTTCTTCTTTACTCCCTGATTGGCTTCAGCATCAGGTTCCTGTCCTCTGATTGGCCAGCCAGCAAGGCACCTCGCCACACCTGGAAACAGGAACACTGGATCAGCACGTCTCATGTTTTATTTGATCCACTGGATTTTTGGTTTGAATTTCTCAGTTAAACTTTTCTCCGTCTTTTTTCTTATAAATATAATCAGCTAAGAAAAACTACTCCGATCCATTACTTCATATAAAACTAGAAATACTACGGTCTAAAAATACTCTATTATCTACTATCTATCTACTACTCTATACTCATTACAAGCAGGAGTCCTGTTTTTGTCTCTGGAGTCTGGTTGGCTGCAGCGACACCTAGTGGCAGTCAATTGTGTCCGTGTGTCCGTTACCTCTCTCTCAGTGTCGGCTGGCTGCTCAGGAAGCTCAGCTGCTGCTCCAGACGACAGACTCTGAAGGCCAGATAGCAGGACGACAGGACTAACAGGAAGACACTGAGAGGCAGACAGGTAGAGAGGCAGACAGGTAGAGAGACAGACAGGTAGAGAGACAGTGAAATTACACTCAAAAGTAAATCACCAATCACACATCCACCAGAGTCACAGGGACATTTTGTTCTTGGTGGGAAACTGTCGCAGGTCAATAAACTGTGGTAACATCAAATATCAACTGAGGAGTAAAACAAATATTGATTGTATCAGTGAGTAAACTGACTTATTTTATAGATATTTCATATTAAAAACTGTACAAACCAGTAACTGCAGGAAGTTTGTGTAAAACCAGAGATTTGGATGAATTCTGAGCAGATTATTTCCTGTTTAGGGAACTTTTATACAATTATCTGTCTGTATTATGTACATTTATCATTTTAAACAATCATACAGACTTAATAGCTTTAAGTTAATTATTTTGATATCTTTTTTGAGGAAATCAATTATTTAGAGAAAAGACTAAAAATAAAAATAATATGTTGTAAATTGTTGAAGTTATTAAAAATGGTTAATTACATTTTTAAAGAGAAATAAAAACACTCACCGTGCATAAAAGGGTTAATAATATCTGTGATTGTTGGTGTGTTTTTATCTGTTTACCTGATATATTACCTTTAATTTTATTCTTTAATGCAAACAAAAAACTTCATCCTACTATCTGCAGAGAGAAACCACTGAAGGAGGAAAGTGAGGAAAGATTAATATATTTATATTATATTTAATTTGTGTGAATCAGTCCTTTAAAGTGAGGCTGCAGTGCTGCTCATACATCAACCAGCAGGTGGCAGCACAGTCCAACTATAAAATATATTTCAGTTCTGAAAAATACAGAAAACTGAACACACCACAGACTTAATAAAACTGATATTACTGATGTTAACATTAATTATTGTCATATAATAAATGTTATATTTACTGCAGACTCAAACACTGTGCTCTCAGTATTCTGATGGTTTTTATTTTTTAGGGGCTTGTTGCTTTTATTTTGATAGGACAACTGGAGATGGACAGGAAATGTATTTTAGGTATTTCTACAGAACCCCAGAACACAAAATACTCAGGAAACTCCATATTTTAATCAGTTGGGTGTATATTTCTCTATATTTCTGTATATTCTGTATATTTCTGTATATATTTCTGTACATTTCTGTGTATATTTCTGTTTATTTCTGTATATTTCCGTATATTTCTGTATATTTCTGTGTGTATTTCTGTGTGTATTTCTGTATATTTCTGTGTATTTCTGTATATATATCTGTATATTTCTGTGTGTATTTCTGTATATTTCTGTGTATTTGTGTATATATTTCTGTGTATATTTCTGTGTATATTTCTGTGTATTCTGTGTATATTTCTGTATATATTTCTGTATATATTTCTGTATATTACTGTGTATTTCTGTGTATATTTCTGTGTATATTTCTGTATATTTCTGTGTATTTCTGTAAATTTCTGTGTATTTCTGTATATTTCTGTGTATATTTCTGTGTATATTTCTGTGTATATTTCTGTGTATATTTCTGTATATTACTGTGTATTTCTGTGTATATTTCTGTGTATTTCTGTGTATATATTTCTGTGTATATTTCTGTGTATATTTCTGTATATTTCTGTGTATATTTCTGTGTATTTCTGTGTATATTTCTGTATATTTCTGTGTATATTTTCTGTGTATATTTCTGTGTGTATTTCTGTGTGTTTCTGTGTATATTACTGTGTATATTTCTGTGTATTCTCTGTGTTTGTGTTCGGACTCTGTGGGACTCACAGCAGGATGAAGAGTTTCAGCAGCTGGTACTCCATGTGACCCAGTTCAGGTACTGGTTCTGTGAGCAGGATCTTCTCTGTTTCCAAGCTGCTGTCTGCACACAGAAGGAAACGCGGCTCACTCTGCGTGTTCAGCATCATGTGACTGTTGACTGACAGGTGGGTGGGCCTACCGGTGAGCGTGTGCGTGCTGAAGGGCGTGTCCGCGGTGAGGCCGGGGGAGGAGTTTCCCAGCAGGTCTGGTAGGGACGAGGAGACGGCGGGGAGTGACGGCTTCCTCCTCCACTTTAACACCTCCGGAAACTCGTCCTGACGGAGAGACGGAGGCAGAAAAAAGCTCCAATCAAAGTTTCTGAAGCAGAAATAATAAAACTTTAAAGTGTCTGCGAGCGGAGAGAAATACTGAACTCAGCTGATGATGATAAGAAAAACACAGAATAAGATAATTGAAATCAGCTCCTCGTAATATTTAACACTTCTCTGAGTCGACTCATATTTCAGACTGAACCTGAAGGCAGCACGGGGAAAATGCCGCTTATCCAGGGACCCTGAAGGTCTCACAGAGGGTCATCGAACAACATCTCTGGTATTCCACTAAGCCTGTTTCACTGACCGCTGACTCATATCTGAAACAACCGCACTGAGGAGGACACTGCTGTCCTGAGCAGGCAGTTAGGGAGCGACTGTCTGTCTGTCTGTCTGTCTGTCTGTCTGTCTGTCTGTCTCTGAGGTTCACTGGGAGGCTGCTGAGCCCCGTTCAGTTGCTCACACTAACGGCAGCTACATCAGCAGTTAGTGGAGGACGTCAGACGGAAAACCTGACAATATTCTCTCCATAAGATCTGATCCAGTTTCACCCAAATCTCTGATAAAGTTGTGTTTGTACAGTAATCAGTGAGCTCCACTAGCTAACTAATGAATCTTCGCTCTGTGTGGCTAAAAGTTAAAGATTGATTGACGGGTGAATGTCAGGATATTATTGGTTGAAATCAGTTAGTTCATGCTGACGTAAACACACATCACATTATGTTTTGATATAGAAAATACAAAGAAATTATTTTTTTTCTAATTTTTTGACACACATTGTTTAACAGGGGTTCAATATGTGATCTTAAAGGGTTAAAATGACATTTTGTTACCATGGACAGAGAGCTGGGCTCCTCCAGGTACTGCTTCAGACTCAGACTCTTCCCGTTCACCTAGAAACAGTCAGAGGAAGAAACAGGACTTACTGACGTCTGTTAAATATGACTGTTTATAATAAGACTGAATCAGAAGAGTGACGGTCCACAAACCTGCAGGTGAGTGCAGATCCTCCTGAGGACGTCGTAGACGCTGTCTCTGGACAGCAGGGACACAAACACATACTGCAGAGAGACAGACAGGCAGGTTATAGAGCGGGCCAGTACACTCGCTCAGGCTGTTTGTGTGATAATGTCTCTGCTGCGGTACCTTCTGTCCGGTATCCATGGTGATAGCCAGGCCGTTTGGCACCAGGCCGGCCGTCTTGTGTTTCTTCACCAGCCGAACTGATACCACCGGGATACAGACCTGCAGGTTCAGAGGATGGGGGGGGTGAAAGTATGAGCAGCTGGAGAGGACATAATTCATTCAGGCCCTCACACACATATACATTAATATCATCGTCTTATTTTTATTCTTACACCGATTTTTATTCTCATATCTGCATATTTTCAGTCACACATTCATTTGCTTTCTAGAGTTACGTGTTGTTATGAACACGTTAGGAATTGTTAAAATGTGATATTTCTTAAAGGGAGTTTGGTGCAGGGAGCTTTTAGTTGGATTCAAACTGTTAATATGGATCGTTGTTAACATTTTATCTCCACTACAGAAACATGCTGTCAGACCTTATTTGTCTCACTGAATTTACATTTGATGGTTGAGGTGTAATGTATGGAAGCCCTGAAAGGCCTAATGTTTCTGATTTTGTTTAATGTGAGAAAAACATTGATCATTTTCAGTATTTTAAAAAGTAGAGTAGTTTTAATACCCATTTCAACCACAAAGTCGAAGTGAAGTGTTCGTGCTCTTTTGTGTGTGAAGTAATGAAGAAAAATGAAATGTTTTTCCGACTGACTCGACTCGTGAGGATGGACTGACACTCACCTTGATGTCTTTACCAAACAGGTTTGCGTAGAAACACAGCCAGTTCCTGGAGATGTAGAGACGTCCCTGCAGCAGGATGTCTCTCAACAATGCACACGAATACACTACAGAAGAAGAGCAGGGAGACAGACCAATGAACCAGCACACAGTCCATCTGAGCTAACCCCAGGTCAACCTGTGTACAGACTGCGTGAGGACAGGTGAGGGACGGTGCCGCTGTCCTGTCAATTATTACCTTTCATCAGGATCTCCTCTTTAGGGACAGTCTGGAACAGTTTGTGATACTGAGAGTTGTACTTGCTGACAGTCTATGGAGGAACAGAGTTAATCACAGATTAATTCATTCTGCTGATATTTGAGATCAATCTAATAATTGATTTTAATATCATAGTTGCAGAGAGAGCGTTGCTGCTCTTACGGATGGCTGTCTCAGTATTTTTATAAGGGAATTAAAGACCTATATTTTTATTCTGTCTTTTAATTTAGACTAATGTTATATTTATGTTAGTTTTTAGGTTTTAATAATTATTTTTACATTATCGGTCTTATTTTGATAGGGCAAGTGACAATAGACAGGAAACAGGGGAGACAGGAAGACAAAATGATACAAAGAAATGTAGTTTTGTTGAATGTTTTGGTATAAATTGTTAAATAGGGGAACAATATGACTGAGGGTGTGATCTTAAAGGGCTAAAATGACATGTTTCATTTCACCTGGACCCTAAGACTTGGATCAAATGCACATTGTGAGTCTCACAGCCTGATAAAGTCAAGTTTTACTAAATATTTAAATATTAGTAATATTTGTAAGCTTTATACACTTTCACTCAGTTTTTATCAACAGGTATAATTACAGACTGACTTTAATAAAAGATCTGAATCCATCATCAGCTGCAAACTAAACCACCACTTTCTGGAATATTCTGCCCAGGCATTGTTGTGGTTCCTGATATGTGGGTCAGGAGTTACACCTGTGTGTCTTTATTCTCTGAGACGGTGACTTCCTGCCTTCCTGTTCCTGTCTGAAACAACAAACACTGAAACAACAGAAAGCAGCAGCTCCACGTCTGAAGCTCCTGAAGCTCCTGAAGCTCCTGAAGCCGCTCTGAACATTCATAAAGACGCTGATCAATGTGTCTGAAATCTGCAGTAAATCCGTCGCTCAGTGTGATCTTTAATTGAATCTGTGGACTCAGATGTGTGACGGTAAACTTTCTGTCCGCACAAACACACGCACACACGCACACACACACACACACACACACACACACCCCCTGACCGTGTTCCCATGGAGACGAGACAGACGCCGGAAACTTCTGCAGAGACTAAAAAAAAGATTTGAAAGGACTCCCGCTGGCCCATCGTCATCTCTGGACTTCTGAAAACAACTACAATGTGTATGTGTGTGTGTGTGTGTGTGTGTGTGTGAGAGAGAGAGAGAGAGAGACATGTCGTCACTTTTAGGTCAGTCCCTATGGTGTCGCAGAGTGAAGGACTTACTGATCCTCTGTAACACTTCTTCACGTCTTCGTAGGACAGGTCGTCGATGAGCTGCAGCCTGCAGGAAACAACACATCTGATCAGACCAGACACAAACTACAGTTTCAGCAGAAAGTGTAACTGTTTGCTCCCTCTCAGCTAATTTAAAAACTGCATCAGAGACCTGCAAAGCACAGTGATTAACAGACTGAGCTAACAGAGAGTCACTAGAACCACATTCATGCTGTTTTTAAAAGTTTCAGTGTGCTATCTGTTTGTAGCTAAGCTAGCAGCTGTGTTGTATACATTTGAAAATGAGCACAGCAGTTTCACAGACTCCCACTCAGAGCGGGAGGTGGGCCGACTTCCTCTGATTAGATGAAGTTACCTCTGTTTTTATTGAAATGTCCCAGACTGTCCACTCACAGGGTTCAGGATGATTTACAATTTCAATTCACAAAATGTTGATTTTTGTGAATATTTAAGACCATTTAAAAATGTTCCTGTTTTAGCATTAGCATCAGGGACACTGGAAGTCAGTCAGAGTTGGGTTGCTGAGAGAAAGTCTATATAATAACATCATACTAAAACTTAAATGTCTGACATTTATGGTTCTGCATTAATTTGAATGGCAAGATTTGACAATTTGTAGCCTACTTAATAGTTATTGACAATTTACACAAATGTTATAATTTTTTTAGCAAATTAAACGGATACTGACATTAATACTAGTGTGTACATGTAAATCCCAATGAAAAAGGAGAAAATCTACATAAGTTTAACATTTTTATGAACAAATTGTTTCACTATACCAAGTTTTAGGGAGTGCTGCAGCCCCCTCAGCACTCCTACTTCCAGCGCCTAATGGTTAGCATTAGCTTATAGTAGCTAGCTACAGCGGATTAAATCTGTTAGCTTAGTGAATAAAGCTCAAGAGTTTATCTATTAATCATTTGTAAATTTACTATCCATGTTTACAATTGGAAGAACTCAGTACATAAGTACAATCAGTACTTCAAAGTCAGTCTCTATGCAGATGATTCTATGCCTCAGACTTTCTAATGATCCTGTCTTAATCATAGTCAAAAAATAAAACTCAGTCTGTTAGCATGATATCATATATGTAGTCATTAGTGAATATTTAGGACCCTTTAAAATGGTTCCTGTTTTAGCATTAGCATTAGCTACAGCAGATGGAATGTGTTAGTTTAGTGAATAAAGCTCAAGAGTTTATCTTTGAGTTATCTGTAAATTTAATATTCATGTTTACAGTTGGAGGAGCTCAGTACATAAATACATAAATAACATCAGTGGAATCAATACTTCAAAGTCAATTTCTATGCATATGATAAAGTCTTATATGCCTGAGACTCATCTTCAGTCTGCCTTTGATGCTTTCCAATTATCTTGAATGTGTGTGTGTGAAAATTTTGCATAGGAGAGAAAAAACCTTGTATTTCAGTATTACAGTATTTTGAAGAAGTAGAAAAATAAAGGCAAGAACTGGGGATTTATTATGCAACATGTTTCTGCAAACCACTTCCTCAAAGAGATGTTTGGCCACACTGTGTGGTTGATCTTCATAGAAGGCAGAAGTGATGCAGCAAAATGTCACCACAGTATAAAAATATTCAAATGCAGTGTGGGAAGTCATATGAAGCATTTTCTGGAGGGTTTATGAGAACGTAGTGTTCTTTAGTAAAGGCTAACATCAACATGCTAACATTTAAAGCAACCAATGCCACACTGCACAGCCAAGACACAGCCAGCTGGAACACCCCAGCTTCTGTTAGCTATAGTTAGCTAGCTGGATCCTGCTGCCTTGCATCGTTCTTGGCTAGTAGAAATCAAACATCATTTATTGTTGGCTAAAATCAACACCATTTGTCAGAATACATAACAATAGTGAGTAAGCAACCTAAGGTTAGCCAGCTAGATCAGCCCCGGGAGTCTGGATGAAACTAGCAGAGAGTATTTTGCTACGTTAGCTAGCTTGCAATTTGTCCGTGTTAGCAACCAAGCTAACGTTATCCAGCTAACAGCACAATCAGACAATATGTTCCACTAGCTTTGCAGTAATGTTGTGGACTCTGTGTTGGACTCTGTGTTGGACTCTGTGTTGGACTCTGTGTTGGACTCTGTGTTGTGGACTCTGTGTTGGACTCTGTGTTGTGGACTCTGTGTTGTGGACTCTGTGTTGGACTCTGTGTTGTGGACTCTGTGTTGGACTCTGTGTTGTGGACTCTGTGTTGTGGACTCTGTGTTGGACTCTGTGTTGGACTCTGTGTTGTGGACTCTGTGTTGTGGTCTCTGTGTTGGACTCTGTGTTGTGGTCTCTGTGTTGGACTCTGTGTTGGACTCTGTGTTGTGGACTTTGTGTTGTGGACTCTGTGTTGTGGACTCTGTGTTGGACTCTGTGTTGTGGACTCTGTGTTGGACTCTGTGTTGTGGACTCTGTGTTGTGGACTCTGTGTTGGACTCTGTGTTGGACTCTGTGTTGTGGACTCTGTGTTGTGGACTCTGTGTTGTGGACTCTGTGTTGGACTCTGTGTTGTGGACTCTGTGTTGTGGACTCTGTGTTGGACTCTGTGTTGTGGACTCTGTGTTGGACTCTGTGTTGTGGACTCTGTGTTGTGGACTCTGTGTTGGACTCTGTGTTGGACTCTGTGTTGTGGACTCTGTGTTGTGGACTCTGTGTTGTGGACTCTGTGTTGGACTCTGTGTTGTGGACTCTGTGTTGGACTCTGTGTTGTGGACTCTGTGTTGTGGACTCTGTGTTGGACTCTGTGTTGGACTCTGTGTTGTGGACTCTGTGTTGGACTCTGTGTTGTGGACTCTGTGTTGGACTCTGTGTTGTGGTGGGTGTTGGTCGTTTGTAGCCGTTAGCAGACTCCATTTATAAACTAATGTTAGCTAGTGTTGCCCACTGTTGGTACTGTAGGGAAGCGGAGAGAGAAGGCACTCGCTTATCTAAATGAATTCATTCTGAATTGTTCAATCTCAACTAATTGCTGAGCTGCTGAAATGTTGCAGATAATCTATAAACTCTGTAGGCGGACTATCCAAATAAAGTGGAGCCAAATGAGGTTCCCCACAGTGGCTCTTTAGGTGTAGCTATCATGCAAAAGGTTTAATCAGACCGTTATCAGGAGCCACGTGGGGGTGAGGATGTAAATGTGACCACAGATCTGATATGTTTCCTAACAAACACGTCAGACTTTCATCCTGTGAGCAGATATCTATAACCAGCCGACTCACTCAATAACTCTAACAGACTATTTGTATATATGTGTTAATACATGACTGGAGGGCCCCAAATTCTATGATTTCAGCTTCAACTGTGAATATAACTGAATAACGCTGAGTGGGTTCTGCCTATAAAATACAACCCTGAGATATTTTAAACTGTAGAAAGTAATTATTTAAATATGTTTTGTATAAGTGGTCATCCCCAGTAACAGTGAGAGCGACACTGAGGGGCAACTGCTGGAAACACTGACCAACTCAAGGAGTTCTTATTAAAAAATGTCTTAAAAATTTGTAAAATTTGTAAAAAAAATTGTAAAAATTGTAAACACATGAACAGGATTTACTGGAGGCCGTCGGTCGGTGTACTTTGTGGTCAACTGATATTTGTTTTGAAATGAGGAAACCAAAATTTCCATTTTTAAAAATGTGAATAAAACAAAAAAAACAAATGACCCACACTCTGTTTTTTGTTCTCCTATTTATTAACACCTCTTTTCCGGATTTTGGTTCTCTCATTTCAAAACTGCAAAAATATCCACAGCACAAAAGCCACAGAGGACACTGACCCCAGTCGTGTTAATCCACCTGCTGCTCAAACTGCTCTGAGGTGTTCAGTCTGTTTCTTTAATAAAGCCTGTTTTTACTGACACACACACACCATGTCATGGTTAATGTAAATGGAGTCAGGACAGGAGGAGGCAAATCAGCACCATGTTCATGCAAACAGAAAAACAACTGACAAACACTGAACACACCAGGATTAGCAGCTCTTATTTTCATTACTAATTCACCATTTTTACCATCAACTGTTTAGATCTTGGTGCTTTTTAACTCTAGATTTTACGACGGAGTATTAAGGACATACTAAGAGAAAAAAATATTATTATTTTGGGGGAAATTACGAGAATAAAGTCGTAACATTACGAGAATAAAGTCGTAACATTACAAGAATTAAGTCGTAAAATTATGAGAATAAAGTTGTAACATTACCAGAATAAAGTCATAATATTATGAGAATAAAGTCGTAACATTACAAGAATTAAGTCGTAACATTATGAGAATAAAGTTGTAACATTACCAGAATAAAGTAGTAATTTTATCAGGACTGTCAACCTGCTGGCTCAGCCAGCAAAACTGTTTAACGATGAAATGATGAATAAGATATCTTACCTGTTGACTGTACGGTACGACTGAGAAAAACAGCAGCTGCTGGGTTCAGGCTGAGGCTGCTGATTGGTTGAGCTGCTCACGTCAGATCTTGATAACTCTATCGAAGCTTTTTTCTCATTAAAACGACTCTTGTTCTCGTAATATTACGACTTTATTCTCGTAACATTACAACTTTATTCTCATAATTTCCAAAAAAATAAAATAAATTTTTTTCTTAGTCTGGCCCTAATACTCCGTCGTAAGATTTGATTTTAGTCATCAGACGTCTGGAGTTATCAGAGAAACAAGCTGGGCAAACGTTAGCATGTTAGAATATCAGTGTGTTTAGTGGTTTTAATCAGCGGGTCTGTTTGTGTTGGAGAGGAGGAGACCTCTGTGGATCATTGGGCTCCCGGTAGAAACCTCCTGAACCATGAACACTGAAGGAATCCTAACCAGGAGAAGCTGACTGCAATGACACCAATGGTGGTGAAGACAACAACTCCCATGATCCCACGCTGCTTCACCACCTCATCACACTACCAATTTTTTTATCATTTTAATGTGTCGTAGTGGCAGAAATTACACCGTTTATTTTTACCATACACTTCCTGTTGTTACTTTTAAATGCTCTCATGTGCTTTCAGTTTATTTTTTAACAATAGTTTTAAAGCTTGTATTAGCTCTGTTCAGTCACAAACTGACTGTGTTTGACAGGCTTAGTCTATAAAATGTCTGAAAATAGTCAAACACAGCCATTACGAGATAGCACGTTTAAAATCAAATGAAGCAGAGAGAACCAGCGAGTCCTCACAGTTGAGACGCTGCAATCAGAAGATGAAAATATAATTGTACTGGAAATGTTAAATTTACATTGTTAGTAGTCAATTAATTTTTATTATTAAATTATTTCTTAAAAAGTAGGAACCCTGTTATTGGTAAGCTTGTTTTGTTCTGTATCTGTTGGGTTTTGTGAATTTAAAGGCATTTACATACTTGAGATACAAGAGGGACCCTAATTAAAGCTGCAAATCAAAATTCAACGCTATGCCACAGACACAACAAATAACTTGATAATGATATTTTTCATTGTGAACATCTTCAGAGTGTACTGACCAGTTCTCTAGGAGGAGTTCGTTAATCCAACTTATATTCAACCAATATCAATTTCAGGCTTAAATGAACAAGTTCAATTCAATTCAATGACTGTTATTAGACAGATTGTTTGTTCTATGTTATATTGTTTGTTTTTAATTAACATTTTTTTTGTTGGGGGGGCTGTAGGTGTGACTAATAACATCTCTGGGGTGTTTCCCAAGCCCTTTTACACAATGCATGCTGGGAAAGGCCAAACGTGGCTATAAGTTTGGCTCAATCGTTTATTTTTTAAAATGTGGGAAGAAACCGAAGCTACTCGGGGAAAACCCACGCCAACACAGTGAGCACTCTGTACTCCTCACAGCAAAAGGGGGTCAAAGGCTGGAATTGAACCGTCACCTGATAGCTGCAAGGCCACAGTGTTACACTGAGGCACCTGTGTGGCGCTATGATACCTGATGTCCTGTGTCGCGATCCACCAGACAATTCTTCTCTTACTGAGATTTTTTTTTTCATTATAGTTAAATGTGGGCGAACCAAAGCCTCTCAGAGTAAACCCAGTGTCATCCCAGTTAGCGTCCGGTCAAAAACCACCAAAGATTACTCTTTGAGCCCGAAGCAAGCAGCGAACGGCTTGGCCACGGTCTTGAAGAGACGTGAGAAGAGTCTGTTCACGCCGGTCTTCTTCTGCGGCTTCACCAGATGCTTCGTTAGTGCCTCAGTTATGCATCTGTAAACAGATGCATCCCGGGACAGCAGGCACATCTTCAAGATCTCTGCATCGCCTGTCAGCTTGCACAACTCCTTGTGCACTGCCTTGGCGACCTTCTTGATGTGCTGGCCACTTGGCTTAACAGCAAACTCGGAACCTGTGATCTGTTCCAGGAACGTCTCCGCCAGTGACCTGCTGACTGCCTCAATGTCACTGCAAGTCACATGAATGTCCAGATGTATCGGACTTTTCAAAATTTTACGAACCAGTGCAATGACCATAAGCCTGCATCTGGTATCGTCCCACTGATGGGCTGCTGGTGCTGCAGTCTCAACCGCAGCTTCATGACTGACCGGTGACTTGGTAGATTGAATGGAGGTGGAAGGTAGTTTGGCTACAAGGGTGTCACCAGTCTTAGCTCCCACCTGTGACTTCTTGACGGACCTAACAGGGGTGGAAGGTGATTCTACTTCAACCGCCAGGGTGTCACCAGTCTTAGCTCCCACCGGTGATATCTTGACGGACCTAACGGGGGTGGAAGGTGATTCTACTTCAACCACCAGGGTGTCACCAGTCTTAGCTACCACCAGTGACTTGACTGACCGAACGGGGGTGGAAGGTGGTTTTGCTTCAAGGGTGTCACCAGTCTTAGCTCCCACCGGTGACTTCTTGACGGACCTAACAGGGGTGGAAGGTGATTCTACTTCAACCACCAGGGTGTCACCAGTCTTAGCCCCCACAGGTGACTTGATGGACCGAATGGGGGTGGAAGGTGGTTTTGTTTCAACCTCCACAGGTGTCACGCAGCAACTTCCTACAGGTGTCACGCAGCCACTTCCTATGACTGAGGGGGTCTCAGTAGGCGATGTCTGACAGACCACTTCCCTGATCTTTTTCAAGACAAGACTTACGTGGTCCTTCTTCCGTTGGTGGCGGATCAGCTGCAGGTTAAGCCATCGCCTTATCTGCCCCATAAAGGTTTCCACTTCACCCTGTATTTGAAGGCGGAAGTCCACCGTGGGAGCCTCTGGCTGTAGGTGTTCAAAAACTAAATCGCCGAGCTCTATGGCGGCTGTGTTGTCCTGATCGCTGCCAACAGAATTGATTATTTCGTCAGGGGTCTCGTCTGTTCTCATCTTCCTTAGATCCTCTTCAGTCGATGAGATGATGCTCCTAACTACATCATCAGCCTCCTCCATCAGCTGGCTCAGAGAAGACTGTTCTTCTGGGACGCATTTATATTTACGCCTCAGTTTTGCCATGAGGCCGAGTAGTGACCCCATGGCAAAACGCTGAGCATAAAAATCCTTAAGTTTGGCTGCCACTGTTTTCCAGTGGGATGTTTTTTCAGGTATTGCCAGAGAGTCAGGCAGTGAAACTTCTGAATTGAGTTTCAACTCCTCAATTATCTCAACGACAATTGCAGAAGCCACCTCAGCCATGTCGTAGGAGGATTCCAACTCGAACATGTCGCCATCTTTCTCTGAAACCTGGACGAAGTAATCAATTGGTTTGATTATCTTGGCCCTTTCTTGTACAATGATTTTTATGGCTTCTGTGACTTTGTCCACAAAGCTCTTCGGAGACTCTGTTTCGGTCTCATCAAGAGAAGGAACAACCGTTCCAACCAGCATTGGGTCCTCCACTGGCAAGTTGTCCAGTGTTATCTGGCTTTCCGCTGCCTCCGTTGTCAGGCTTTGCTGACCTTTCTTTACGGCACATTTCTTCAAGATTTTGGCCACATGTCGGACCATGGTCTTTAGTCTCTCGGTGAAGGAAGGTGAGATGAGAGGTCTGCTCCCCTCATCACCTCCACTACTCTCAGAGCTTTTGGAGACCATATTGACTCTGTCTGTGACCTCTGTAATCACAGCGTCCGTTAGCTTCTCCGTGCTTCGGGAACTGATGTCTGGGACACCGGTGGCCTCCGATAAGGCCAGAGAAATAAAGTCCCCCAGGCAACCACGGACGTCGTCTTCAGATACACTTCTCTTCTGTGATCTGGCTGATCCAGGAGAGCTTTTGTAGGATTTGGGAGTGTCTCTCCCCTTCAGTTGCTTCTCTCTAAACACCCCATATATGTGGATGAATATCGTTTTCACGATATCCACGCAAATGTCAGTTATAATCTCTTCGGCCTCCTTTTCGAGGGACCCGGATTTCAGAAGCGACCACTCTATGGTTGTCAGCTTCTCCAGGCACTGGCGGATGTGCGTGCGAAGACTCTCAGTTGTATTTGTTTATGTCCTTAAATACAAAGTCCTGAAGAATCTTTCTGTGTTTGTCGTTGTGTTCAAAGTGAGTCTGAACTGATGTTGGATTTAGATCCTATTTATGCATTTTCAGACGGAATGTTCGCCTTTGTATCAAAAGAACATTCGATTGGCTTTTATCTTTGAATGACATCACAACATTCCGATGACATCACAGAAAAACAGTAAAGGAATAAAAAAACAAAAGATTCCGACAATAAAAATATTTAAAAATAAACAAACTTCGCTAAAACTATGGAGAGAATTTTGTTCTTTTATTATTCAATCAAACAGAATAGATTTAAAACCAAAAAAGAGCAGCACAGCACAAGGGAGAAGTGGGTGTAATGTGGAAGATGTAGCCAGGTCAAACCAACCAATAGAAACTCTTCTCTCATCCACCAGCGTAGGCCCCGCCCATCAAGTGCAGTTGAATTCGCAAACAAAACTTTAGAACTCGCAAGCAAAGAGGACTGATTTGCAAACAAAACTTTAGAACTCGCAAGCAAAGAGGACTGATTTATAAGCAAAAATATGTTCTCTCATATTTTTTTTCAATTGCAACCTGTTCTGTTTCGATCTCAAAAAAAACATTTTTTGATTGCCACTTACTCTTTTTTGCTCTCTAATCTCTTTTTTGGTTTCAAATCTATTCTATTTGATTGAATAATAAAGGAACAAAATTCTCTCCAGCATTGGGTGGGACATCGCACTCCACGCAACTCGGGGCATGCTGCGGCGGCGTCACGTGCTGTCGTAACACGTGCGGACCACGACACGAAAATCTCACGTAAATCAGCTCAAAACCACCACGCAGCGCTTACTTCCTGTTGCCAGTAGGTGGCGCTATCACTATGTCTGAATATTGTCATGTAGACGTGTTCAGGGCGGGATTCTTATCAAACGTGAAGTTTTGTTGAGATCAGATAATGTACACTGAAGTTGTGAGGATGTGTTCAGGCTAGGACTGTTACAGAATATGTGAAGTTTAGTCGAGATTAGACATTGTACACTGAAGTTGAGTACTATCTGTTTATGGTGAATGGTTGAAATTCAACGCCACAGGCACGCCGTTTGACGGAATGTCGTAAAAAGCACAACTTTTAATCATGAATGTCTTTAGATTGCGCTGATTAAATTTGAAGTTGATCCGATAAATTCCCTAGGAGGAGTTCGTTCAAATACAACGCAAAAAGTTTGCCGAAAGTGAAAATCTAAATCAAAATGGCCGACTTCCTGTGGGGTTTGGGGTATTGGTCCAAGAGGCTTTTTTGTACGTCCCGGCATGTTACACGTGCCTACCGAGTTTCATACATATCGGTGAAACGTGGCACCGGGGCTGCTTTTTTCTTATCCTATAGGGGGCGCTACAAACACGACAAACATGATTTTTGGTATGTGAGCTTCAGGCACCACTCTACAGGTGCCCTGTGAATTTCATTTTCATAACTATTACGGTCTCCGCACAGTGATTTACCATGCCACCAGAGCGCCACCTAGTGGCGGATTGTTGACACATTTTTTAGCAAGCTTCAGGGAGCCCTGGGCAAGAATTGCACCAATTTTCATTTTAATCACAAATTTTTGAATGTGCGACAAACGATGCAGAAGTTATAAGCCTAAACGCATTTTTGATGATAGTAGCGCTACCTAGTGGCCTACCCGAAAGCGACACATAGAATATCCCCATTTTTACCAGGCCTGACAACTTTGCCAAATAAAATTGAGTTTTCGTATATGTTCAGGGGGGCAAAAATGCAGTCAAAGGGGGCTAAAAATAATAATAGGTAAGAAGAAGAAATCGAGCAAAAACAATAGGGACCTCCAGCGGTCGCTGGCTTGGTCCCTAATTAAAGCTGCAAGCAGCGTTGGGCGGGACCTCGCCATCAACTTACGTCAGGGCCTGCATGGCGGTCGCTGTCCACTGTTTAGATCTTGGTGCTTTTTAACTCTAGATTTGAACCGGATGAAGGATTTTAGTCATCGGACGTCTGGATCTTAAGTTATCAGAGAAACAAGCTGAGCTAACGTTAGCAGCAGCTCGGCTCGCAGCCCCTCCGGGACGTCCTTTGTCTGTCCAACAGCGTGGGAGAAGCAGTGATTGTTAAGGTGGAACTGCTTTATTCAGTGTGTTTAAGGTGGAACTGCTTTATTCAGTGTGTTTAAGGTGGAACTGCTTTATTCAGTGTGTTTAAGGTGGAACTGCTTTATTCAGTGTGTTTAGTGGTTTTAATCAGCGGGTCTGTTTGTGTTGGAGAGGAGGAGACCTCTGTGGATCATTGGGCTCCCGGTAGAAACCTCCTGAACCATGAACACTGAAGGAATCCTAACCGGGAGAAGCTGACTGCAATGACGCCAATGGTGGTGAAGACAACAACTCCCATGATCCCACGCTGCTTCAACCTCATCACACTTCATATTTTGTCATTATTCTGATGTGAGAGACCCCCTAGTGGCAGGAATTACATATCATATGTTTAATTTAGTGTCGGTGTCTGAAATTGAAACCTCCCTCCCTGCACTGAATATGATTTATCTTTATCTTTTTTATGTATTTTTTTAAACTGCAACATTAAAACTAAAGTAGTGAAAATTCCCATCAGCCACTGGTGTTTGTTAGAGGACTCAGTGTGTGAAAGGAGTGATTGTGTGCAACAGCACACACACACACACACACACACACGCTGATAAAAGAACTAATTATGCAAACAGTTTGAGGCTGAATGGAGAAACTGGAGCAGAGAAAGAGGCCTGAACTGACACTGAACATTCACACATTATTTTCTAAAATGCAGCCCTCCCAGTGGAAGCATTCAGATCATTTCCTAATGTTAAAGTACAAACACTACGCTGTTAAAACTATTACAGCTGTATGTTAGTATAATCAGTGCAAAGCTGGTGGTTGTTTTCTACCAGCTGGAACATATTGAGATATTGTGGTTTTAGTCAGCTAGCTCCATCCAGACTCCAGGCCGATCTGACTGGCTAGCTGTTCTAACGTTATTCAGCGTGGCTGTCTAACCTTCGCTTGTTATCACTAGTAAAATACTTTCTGAGTGGATATGTGATCACATATCCAGCTGGGGAAGCTAACGTGATCCATGATACTAACTTATGTATTCTGACAAACGGTTGTCCGGCTGGCTGTGTCTGCCGTTGGTTGCTTCGTGGTGTTGGCTGATTTATAAATGACAGTTGGATACAGAAGCTTTAGAAAGGTTCACATGGTGGGTAGATGGTTTGGTTTTTTAGTATTTTTAGACTCAGAATATTTCAATGTGATTGGCTTCAGCCCCTCATCCAATATGAGATCAGATTTAAACATATTACTGATATTAGCTTTTTTAATCCTGCTAACCTTATTTCTTCATTCTGTCTTTGTTCCTTCCTCCAATGACTCCTGAGCATTTTTTAGT